CTGCAGCCAAGAAATTAAAAGACGCTTGCTCCTGGGGAGGAAAGCTATGGCAAATCTAGACAGCATACTAAAAAGCAGAGACATCACCCTGCCAAAAAAAAGTGCTTATGGTCAAGGCTATGGTTTTCCCAGTTGCAATATATGGCCGGGAAAGTTGGACCATAAGGAAGGCTGAACGCCAATGAATTGAGGCCTTTGAATTGTGGTGCTGGCGGAGATTCCTGCAAGTCCTTTGGACAGCAAGGCAATCAAACCGGTCAGTCCTAGAGGAGATCAACCCTGACTGCTTTTTAGAAGGTCAGATCCTGAAGATGAAACTCAAATACTTTGGCAAAAGAAGAAGGGGACGGCAGAGGATGAGGTGGCTAGATGGAGACACTGAAGCAGTTGGTGTGAGCTTAAGTGGACTCCGGGGGATGGTGGAGGACAAGAAGGCCTGGAGGAATGTCCTCCATGGTGTCGTGATGGGTCGGACACGACTTCACGACTAACAACAACAACAATTTTTTCAAATAATGTGATTTAAAGCTGTATACAGCTTTCAGGGTGGCAACCAGCACTTTAATTTGGGCCTGGTAGTAGACTGGCAGCCAACACAGACAGAAAATCACTGGAATAATATGATATCAGTTAGTAGTCTAGCAATCCCATTTTAGACTAACTCAAATTTCTGGACCATTTCAAAGGTCTCCCCATATATAATATATTGCAATAATCCAAACAGGAGTTCACCAGAACGTGAATAACTGCCACTATCCAGATAAAATTGTAGTTTGTATATCAACCTAAGGGCACTACTCTATTTATGTTTAGACTGAAAAAACCCTATAATTTGCATTATTCCCTGGCCAACCCCAGATGCTGGAGGATTTTTTTCTGTCTAAACTTGCACAGAATTGTACACTAAGCAGATACAACGTACTTAGTACCACTGAGGTCTCTTGTGCATCTAATGATGGCTCTTAAGAGCACCCCCAAAGAACAAACCTGCTCCCTTAGAGGGAAAGCTGCCCTCTCCGGAATGATTGGATGCTCCTTCGCTAGACACACAATAAGAATCTCTGTTTAAGCACATTTATGAGATTCTTTCCCAAAGTTTAAAATAATGCTTTGTCTTCCCGCTTTTGTATTTTCCCAGAAACTCTGAAATTCACTGGAGTTGCTTTGCTGTAAGCTCATTGATCCTTGTTTAGGTGGCTCATTCCTTCCCCCTTTTTTATATTTCAGGCATTCTTCTGCAGATATAAGAAGGCAATTTGTACAGCAACTAAATCCTGGACAGTTCCCTCAGCGAAGTCTTAGTACCCCTGGGGTGTCTTCTCTTCATCTAGTAAGTGTGGAGTTTGTTACACATTCTGTGTGCATCAGGGTTTCATGCCATGTGTGTAACCTCGGTGGGTTTATAGTAAACAAATGTAACTGGTCAGAGGAATGTAGATTCCAGATTTTATAGAATAGAGCTTGGGTATTTGATAGAGAACAATCTTGTGCATATTTACCTGGGAGCTTTTCCCTCAAACTCAATAGGGCTAATTTCTACTTAGACTATATAGAACTGCAGTGCAAGATGCAAATTATTCTTTGTACCCTACCAGGAGTTTAGCAAAATATTATTACCCAATGATAATGGTAGTAATCACTCAAGTGTCTGCTAAAGGTAAGCAGAGGGGAATTTTGAAACTGAAGAATTTAATTGGGCACAATGAGATCTTCCTACCTTCAACAATATTCTAGTTAGAATAAACAGCTATTTGGAGAGTGCAGTTTTTCAAAGTGAAACACTGCAATAAATAAATGCTTCCTGTCTACCAAAGCTAACCACCATCTCTTTACTTGCTTTTTTAAATCTGAGAAACTGTGGTGTTTAACTTGTCCTATCTGGGTGATTCACTGGAAGATTGGGGGAGGGTTTGGGGGTTTTTTTTTGAGCTGAAACCACTTCTGCCAAGAAGCTTACATTTTATTTCCTATACCCGCCATTTTACTGTTTACCACCAAAATGTACCTTGCCGCTGATTGTTCTGTACGATGAAGAAGGTAAGTGTTTTGTAACTGGTTTTGTATGTTTAACTTGCCTTTTGCTTAATAAATTATACTGACTAAAGATGTATAACAGTTCACCAGTTTCAGTGATGTTCTTTTTAACAGTTTATACCAAGCTCTCTCACAAATTTATTAATTCTACCCTATGAGGTTTCTAAAACTATAGAATTGACTACCCTATCATTTGAGAATGTAATATATGCACAGTCCACTTCAATGGTCAAAAATACTTCATTCTTGATTATAGTGTAGTTTGGTGAGGACTGCTATTTTGTTTGCAGAGCATATTATATCTTTAGAAAATAAACATGGCATGTACCTAGTTAAATGCACATTTAAATTGCATTTATTAATTCAAAAAAACTTTTGTAAACTCTTGTTATATTCCTGAGGGGCTGAAAAAGGTTGTAGTCCAGTCTTTAAGGTGCCACGAGACTCTGTCTTCTATCCACATGGTGCATTGCTAATGAAAACTGGTGAAATTCTGTTTTCAGTTATACATGGATAAGTCCCATTCTCCAACTTAAATGGGACTTAGCCTGAAGAACCAACTATAGGATTACAGGCAAACATTTCAAGTGAAAGACTTCCTGTTATTGCAATCCTATTGTCTCAAAAATAAGCTCCCTTAAGTTTAATGAAACTTCTTCCTAGATAAGTGAGTATAGGATTGCAGCCCTAGATAGCTTCCTGTCATTATACAGAAAACAGTTAAAAGGGGTACAGTTAATGAAAAGTGTTTATATCTTTAAGAGAGTGTAACTCTGTAAAAAGTTATATAGTAGAAGAATAGCCTCTTAGCCTGTATTCTGTCAGTCAATGGGACTAAAGCAACCCAACTCTTTCCAAGATTACAGACTCAGCAATTAGTTTATCTGAAGCACTTTAAAGCCTCGAGTAGCATTGATGAGGAAGAGTTTTGTGTTCACATTATTTTGGCAAGCAATGACAGATAATTAAAATAGATCTGCACACCTCTCCTCTTGCCACATCCTTTGAAGCATGTTAAAGAAATGTAACACAATGAGATGTAAATTTGTTTACTTTCAGTTTCATCTATGATTATTTGTAGTTACGCAAAGTTCCATGAAATGCTTGTGAAAAGACTTGAAAAACAGGCTCTCCATTATATGGACTAGTGCTCTACCGATGAAAACATTAATTGGCCAATTAAAAAAAATAAAATCCTAGAGAAAGGAAGATGCTTTATGTTGAGTTAAAGCCTTGGCCCATCTGGCCCAGTAGTGTCAACAAAGTCAGGCAGCAGCTCTTTTCCTAGCTCTACCTAGAGATGCCCAGGTTTGCATCAGGGACTTTCTGCCTGCAAAGCAAGGACTCCCCCACTGAGCGACAGTCACTCCTGAGAGATGGCCAGGGGCATTTGGAGCAGGATTTTGGTATGGGAACACATTCAAAAAACACACAAAATAAGAGAATTCTCATAGACATGGGCAGGATGCCTTTCTGTCACTGCTATGACCAGCCTGAACATCAAGTGACCTTCTAATCCTTGCCCTTTTTCTGGGTAGATTGTCTAGCTATCTCTAACACAGGTTGTTCATGCCATCTGTGCAAGAATATCTGTGGTATCATCTAACAACTGTTTGGGGATGGCCACTGGATATAAAGCTCTCTGTGCTTTAATCCCCTCTAACCTCATTGACTACATTTATTACTATCTAAAATATAAGAACCTAACAGTAGAATTCTATACATGGCCACTGAGTTCAATGAGACTTATTCCTAGATATATGTGCATAGGGTTGCAGCCTAAATGCATCTCAGAGCATGTTTAGGCAGAACAAAAAAGTCCTACTAATCCCAGCATCCCCTAGCTAGTGTGCTGTGAATTGTAGGGCTTTTTTCTGTCTGTATATATTTCAGATATCTGAAAAAATACACTGTTCTCAGCATTGTGGCTGAGGATTCCAATTAGCCTCTCTTGTTGCAGACACACATTGTATGTAGATTTGATATTGTCTTTAGATGGTTCACTATTTGCAGCATTTTCCAAGTCATTCTCCTCCATTTCTTCCTTTTTCATTTACTCCTCTGTCAACTGTTCCATCAAGACTTCCTAAGAGCACAGTAGACAGTGCTACATACAGGCTTAGTGGCTGACTAGGGGTTATGAGACTTACTGCATCTGAAAGCACATTTGAGTTGTAACCATAGTTCCTGATCTATAAAGGGATCTGCTTGGCTCTATTTATGGTATTTGAGTTTAACACTCAGTGGTGACATGATCATTGGATGCTATGACAGTATTCCTGTGTCTGGGGAAAAGTAAAAGGTATCATTTGTTTTCTTTCTTGTAACATTCAGCCTCAATACTACGATGCAGTAGAACCGGTTGATTTTGAAGGTTTCCTCATGATGCAGTTGAATAACTTAGATTCAGAACTCCTGCAGGAACTGGGTGACTTTCCTGAAGATGATTTGGAGGTGGTCTTTACTCAAAAGGAGCACAGGACCTTGCAGCCATCATTACCAGAAGAAGGGTAAGTAAATGGAAAGCAGGTTGAATGGCCCCAAATGTATACTTTCTGAGTCTGAAGTATTTCCCTTTAATGATGTGGTGTGTAGAGGTAGACTATAGGTATTCAGTAGGAGTGAATTGCCTAAAATTGGACAGTGGAATCTTTTGCTACTTACTCAAAGCTCTCTGTCCAGTGATTCTATAAAAAATGTCCTGCTGGGTCAGATCAAGGATCCAGCTAGTCTAACAATCTGTTCACACAGTGGCTAACTGTCTGCCCTTCCTCCAGGAATGTGTCCAGCCTCTTTGTAAAGCCACCCAAATTGGTGGCCACTGCTACATCTTGAGGAACTGAACTCCATAGTTTAACTATGTGCTGTGTGAAGAAGTAATTTTATCTGTTATGAAGTGCCCACTGATCACCTTCACTGAGTGACCTAAGTTCTAGTATTGTGAGAAATGTTTCTACTCCCTCCAGTTTTAAACCTGTAAATCACCACCCACAATAGTCAGCAGGTCCTCTCACAGGCACCTGGCAAGTTTCAGCAGGCTTTTTGACATGTACAGAGGGTGGCAGCAGGGAGGAATGGAAACAAAAGCATATGCATGCCTTCCACTTGCACAATGTTGGATATCATTTTATTTTTTTAAGTTGATCTTATAACGATAAATGCCATAACAACACAGAAAACACAGCTGGCACATTAAGGGCATAATTTATAGCTTTAGCTGCCTTTTACTACCTTTACTACCTTTTTTCTGATTAAAGTTGCCATTTGGTGCATACATATGGAGGCAAACATCTCACTAAATTCATTGGGATAAACATTACATGAATAAACATGTATATGATTGGATCATAAATAATTTCCCTGTAGATTCTTCTAGTTTGTTCAAATTATAAATTGGACTAGCAACTCAATTCAAGCATAAAATGAGGAGCCACCTTTCATGCATGTGCACTTTTAAAATCCCTAGATGCTTTGCTTAAGTGGTAAGACTCATCTTGTGATGAGATAAGATGGGAGGGGCCAGAGGTCAATGGCAGATTCCCTGCTTAGTAGGCAGAAGGTCTCAGGTTCAATCCTTGACTGCAGGTGGGACTAGGAAAGAACCTCCCCTGAAGTGCAGAGATCCATTGCTAGTCAGTGTTGACAATACTGGTCAATAAGACCTGGCTCAGTATAATTGGCTTCCTATGTTCTTGTGCTGAAAGCTTCAGTTATTCAGAAACAGGTGTGGCAGGGCTGAGTCATACAAAAACATTTTCTGCTCCATCCTCTTGAGTTTTCTCAGAGTTTTCATGTGTATGCTCTTCCCACTCTCCGTTTTAACATTCAGCATGGCAGTGTACCACCCTTTCCTAACATGCATAGGATTGAACCTTTAAAGTTGTTGAATGCTTCATTTCATAATAGATCTTTTTATTCTTATTCCAAAATAAGTCAGGGTACATTCAGCAAGGTTTGTTCTTTGTAAATTTTATACATGTAAAGTGGTGGAAGGGGAAGCAGTTTGCTGGCCTTTTGTGTTTATATGTGCATTGACCTGTGTGTCAACTAGCATCAAGATTCTGCTTTCTACTCCAGGACTTCACTTCTAATGATTCTCATTCTGGGGACAGGTCACTCTCTGGGACAGCCAGTACCTACTTAGATGATTAGGTAAAATGTTCAGCAGCTTGCCTTAATCAGAAAGCACAGAAGGAATAATTGTACATGGCAAGAGTAGCAAAACACCAAGAAAGAAGAAAAATAATGTGAAACTAGAAAACTGAGCAGTGAATATCCCTCTTCTTATACTAATCTCTTTTCACTCATGAGAATAAGTATTTCAGTTCTCAGCATACCCCAACCAGCCTTTACTGAATATGCTTTTTATATGTATTTTAATATTTACTTATTCTGGTTGGCTGTGTATTATCTTTTCTTGTTATAAATGGACATATTTAATAAAGTACATCATGCAAAATAACTTGGAAAACAGATTTGGATAGAGAACCCACAAGAGAAGTGCTATTTGCAACCAAATATACAAGGGTGTCTTGAGAGGTAACAGTAATTTTGGTATCCAATGAGTATCCACATTGCTGCTTCTTTCCAGGATGTATGCTTGTGGATGTTGATATTTTTGTTCCCTCTCTAGAGCTGAATTGGATCCACATGTCCGGGATTGTGTTCAGACCTATATTCGTGACTGGCTGATTGTGAATCGAAAGTAAGTTGCACACTGAAGAATGATCACATAGATATCCTATTTTTAGCGTGCAAGCTCATTCTTTCTGTAGTGGCTGTGTGTGTGGGACTGAAACACAGAGTCCCCCTCCCAAGGTTGTAGCACACAGGAGCGGGGACTCTGAGGATTCTTGTCTAAGGCCATAGGCATGTGCCTTAAAGTAATTAGTGTTTGTATTGTTTTAAACTATTTGTGCTTTTTATCTTGTTTGTTTATGGTTATGCTGTATTTTGATGTGACCTGCTTAGAGATCACTTTGATATCACTTTAATAAAGTGATATCAAAGTATTATAAATTAAATAATATTATTTGCATTGATAGAGGAATGTTAAAGCCTGTTCTTTTGACTAGTTCTGTAATTAGTCAAGAAGTAGGATACTTACTGTCTTATCATATTTATATTTATTACATTTATATCTTTCTTCAAAGGAACTCTAAATGATACACATGATCTTCCTTCTCTCCATTTTATCCTCACCGCAGCCTTGTGAAGTAGGTTAGGTTGTGAGTCAGTGACTGGCCCAGAGCCACCTAATGAGCTTCATGGCTGGGTGGGGAATAGAACCTGGATCTCCCCACTTCCAATCCTACACTTGAACCGCTATACTACACTGGCTGTTCAGAATATACAGTAGACTCAGTCCACAAAGAACTACAGGCAGTTAGTATCGTGTGCCATAGTTTGATGGGGATGCCTTGGAAGTCTACTGGCCTGTTCAAGGAGCATTCCTGTGGAGGCATGATTTGTGTTGAGCAATATCTCCTAAATGAATGCAATTGAGGGGAGGATTCCATGACTTCTGTGATGGCAGTAATCTTCTTTCACGCTGTTGCATGGAGGTAGCTCAGGCATGGAGACTCAGGAAGGAACTTCATGTGAATTTCTCCTACTAGTCAAGGCCTTCCACATACTCAGTGGGCTCCTGTGGGGGCCACTTGGTGGGCAAGTGTTAACCGGATTTCAGTCGGTTGGCCTATCCTTTGCAATGATTTTTTTTTATTTCACAGAAAAACATTACTTGGACATTAGAGCTTCCTAATAAAACAATTCAGAGCTCTTGGCTTTCGTCCAGCGTAGTTGAACACGCAATCTTATGCATGTTGGTTTTGGTACTAGCATAGAGTCCTAACCAGCTAAGGACACAAGTCCTGGAAGGATTGCTTCTCCCAGCACTAACCAGTCTAGGTTTTAAGGTCAACAGGGGAGGTTCTGCAAATGGGACCTCTGAGAAGTCTGGCTCAAGGGGCGAACAAGTGAAGCAGGGCCTTCTTGATAGTAGCTCCATAATTACAAAACTCCTTCCCTGTAGAACAGGGATAGGGAATCTGTTTTGACATGAGAACTGGGCCAAGGGTGTTGCAGGCTACATCTCAAAGTGGCATGTGGTGCCACAGTATGATTAGCTGGCTATATACACTCTCATACCCTGAGCCTTCCCCATTGCAATCAAGATTTGCAGTAGGAGAAGGATGGTTTTGGGGGAGAAGGGAAGTCACAGATTTGGGAGAAGAGAGTTAGCCCTTTCCTCTCTAGCAGCCATGCCCCTGAAAATGCCTCCTGCACTACAGTTAGCTCCCCCTGCCACAAAGCCCCTAGTGGCCCCAAAGAGGACTTTTTAAAAGACTGGTTACAGCAGGGAAGGGGCCATTTTTTGAGGAGGATGGTCATGGGGTTAGGGATGGGAGGATTGACCTCCCTAGAAACCACTTACCCCAAAATGACCCCCTTGTTGCAATTAGGTTTAGTGAGGAAGCACCTCTTGGAAGCAACAGAGACTTAATGCAGTATGGGGGTGGAGCAGGGAAACTGCAGTATTTTTATTCAGTGACCCAGGCTACAGCATGAGAAGGTGATGGACTATGGGATCTTCCTATGGGCTGACAGTTACCCATCCTTGCTGCAGAGATTTGGTTGGTTCCCACACTGTTTGTGTTTAGTTTGTGTTATTACATTTTTGTTGTTGGTTTGTAATTTTATTTATTTTTCCAGAATTGGTTTTAAAGCTGCATTTTTTGGAAGGGGGGCTTATTAGCTGCCCTGGGCTCTTTCAGGAGGAAGGGTAGAACACAAGAATGAGAGGGAGGGAGAAAGAGATCCAGGTACTAGTCTGTATTCAGTCATGAAACTTGCTAGGAGACTTTAAGCTCAAGCTCAACATACCTCACAGGGTTGTTGTTGTGAGGATAAAATGTCACTCTGTAAGGTACCTTGGGTTCCTCACAAAATGAAAAAGTTAGCATATTTATTTATTTATTTATTTATTTATTTATTTAAAGCTTTTACATCCTGCCCTTCACAATGTCTCAGGGTGGTATACACACATTGCATTCACATAAATGCAACAAAATAATAGTAATTAGTGATGGTTGGTTATTTTTTTATCTCCACATAATTTTACTGAAATCTGACTGGTTATTTTTATTGAAGGACCCAAGGAAATAGTGAGACATCTTCCTTCACGAAAAGGGGATCCAGAAGGGACTTCCACAGAAATCTTCAAAAGCAGACGTTTGAATCTGAAATTGTGGATTACAGTGATTATCAGGTATCCTTTACCATTGCTATCTATAATCTATCTATGGATCTATCTGTCTGTTGACAATGGCTGAGCTGAGTTAAAGGGCAGGGATAGAACTAATCATCTGCTAATTTTCTGTTCTTGCTGGCATGGCAGTGCATACTAAATATTTAATGCATCATTTGTTCATTACTGAATAAGCTAAGATCCGTGTACGTTCTCTTCTAAGGCCTAATTTATTTGGAATTTTCAATATGAAACTGGAGGTCCAAAAATACTTATTTTTTTTTCTTTAGACATTGCTACTGTAGTAATAGCTACATTTAACATTGGTAAACCGAAGTGTTTTGCTGTATTTCCTGCTTCATGTTGTATTTCCTTGGCTCTTGGGCAGGCAAGTTTCCCGCATTTAAAGGTCCTCTGTGATGACTCTAGTAGAGCCACACTGACCTCTGGAGATTTCGATTTGCGCAGTTTGCAACCTGATCATCGTCTGCCAAATTTGCTACAGCATGTGAGTGTTGAAGAATTTCAGAAACAAAATGAGGAAGCACGGCAAAACAACAGGCCTGCAGAATTGTTTGCCCTGTATCCCAGTATAGATGAGGTGAGGCACTTATCTTATGGTACAATTATTTTGCAGTCTTACATACTTTAAAAATGGAACATCCTGTAAAGAATTAAGATTCTAACCAGTGTTAACTGTGGAAGTAAACTGCCTTCATGTACTTGCTTCTGAAATGTAAACTCTTTTCCTTGAAACGTCTTAGCCCCTTACTCTGTTTGACTTGTTCTGCTTGTGTTAACTTCACTGATGCAGCGGGGAGTGTTATTTAAGTTCCTTGAAGGCCAGTGTGGTGATGTGGTTAAGCGTGGTGAATTGGAACTCAGGAGATCTGGGTTCAAGTCCTCACATGGCCAAGGGAGTAACTAGGAGACTTCACTTGACTTAGCCTAACCTTCACAGAGTTGTTATGCTGATAAAATGGAGAGGAGCAGCAGCAAACAAGCTAACTTGGTTCCTTGCAAGAAGAATGAAACATGGGATATAAATGTGGTAGTAGTGATGATGATGATGATGATGGATCATCATGGGTTATTAGATTTAAACAGCCCTCACATTGTCCTGTTAGAGGGTTGTTTAACCCTTGAATAACTCACAATGGACAGGTTTACACAACTGATTTCAATCCCTAACCACCCTGATCATGGGTTGCCTGTTGTAAGTGGCAGCCACACGTTTGTCATGCACCACAGCTATTGAGAGTTATATAACCCTCAGATGAGCCAAGTGTGTTGTATAAACTGGTCTGTTGCATTTTAGAGGAACCCTGGTTGACTTGGGCTGCTCATGTAGCACCGACATTGACTGTATAGTACAAGTGCATAGAGATTCTTTCAGCTGCATCCAGTTACATAGAATCACAGAAACAGAGTATGTCAGAAGGGGTCTCCTGGGCCATCTAGTCTGACCCCTGGCACCAGCTGGCTCCACTCATGACATACCTACCATGTGCATGTCCAGCCTATCTTTGAACACCCTCACCGATGGGGCTTCAACCATCTCCCATGGAAGCCCATTCTGTACCCTTGGGTCCTAACGATCAGGAAGTACTTTCTGACATCCAAATTGAACCTTGGTTCCCTGAGCTTGACTCCATTGGAATGCATCCTACTCTCCTCTGCAGGGGAAAATGGGTCTCTACCCTCCTCTGTGTGGCACCCTCTCATGTACCTATAAGTCGCCAAAAGATCCCCTCGGAGTCTCCTCTCCTCAGGCTGAAAAGACCTAGCTCCCTCAGTTTTGCCTCATACTGCTTTTAATGCAGGCACCATCCTTGTGTTCATACACTGCACCCTGCTACCCCTTGAAAACTGAAAACACTTACATAGTTTGAATCATTATGATTTTTGGCAGCCATATTCAACCAGGAGCAATGAAAAGAAGTGATTTCATTCTAGAGCCAGGGTAGTATAGTGGTTAAGAGTAGAGGAGTGGGACTCAGGCAATCTGGGTTCTAGTCCCGGCTCAGCCATGGAGCCAACTGGGTGACTTTGGGTCACAGACTCTCAGCCCAGCCTTCCTCACAGGGTTGTTGTGGAGATAAGATTGAGAGCAGGAGGAAGAGGAGAATGACACAAGTTGCTTTGAGTTCTTTGTAAGAAAAATGGTGGGATATAATAAATAAATAAATGTAAATATAATACTGCAATACTCAGTATAATAATATCTGTCATGCCTTCTCTGGTTGAGAACATAACATGGCATTTAAGAATTTGAACTGCTGACAGTGACTCAGATGCAGTTTATACATTCAATAAATAATAATAAAGATTCTTCCAGTAGTTCAGGGGAGGTCTGTTGGCTTTGTTTGGGGTACCTGTATGTAAATATCTTGCTATACATTAAACTGTTTTTTGTATGCTACCTATGTTTCATTTGCCTGTGTTGCACCTGATAGCACAAAAGGTGCTTCAGCTACAGTTAAATAATTTCTCTATATTACTGTTTGATGATGATGATGATGATGATGATGATGCCTATTTCCAATACTGGGAAGTAATACTATGTTTAATAATAGGAGGATGCTGTGGAAATACGGCCAGTGCCTGAATGTCCCAAGGAATATTTGGGCAATAGGATACTGGTAAAAATACAGACACTGAAGTAAGTAAGCAACTTCTGGTTCCATCAAACACATTTGCAGGGCTTGACATAGTTTTCATCATGTGACCATCAGAGGTTGAGACTAGTTCTGCATGTGCAGCAGAATGAGGAAGATACTGGAGCTGGTAGAATGGACTGTTCTACTTCAGATACCAAGTGCAGGATCAAATTTATGAAAGCTTCCCTTTTTTTTAATCCACACAAGCAAAAAGCAAGGAATGTTTTACTTATAGTGGGAATATTTTAAAATGCTTTCTATGTGCAGCCTGAATTGGTACTAACAATTGTTACCTTTGGACCCTTCTACTTCATTCCTACTGTCTTGTAGTTCATGTGTAAATCCAGCCTGATTCTCTTGCAGGCAGCAAAATATTTATCATGGTAACTTTTCACATTTGTTTCTTTTTTGCATTTGCAAGACCCATCAAGGTAGTATTTTAAACTGGTCTTCCAAGCATGATTTTGGGTAGAGCCCTGATAATTTTGATTCTGTGAAGGCCAGGAAGAGAAGAGGAAGTAGAGAAACAATTTCTTCATTTTGCATTCATTTGTTTTTTACATAGTATTGCTGATGTTTATACAATGAGGAAACATTGCCAGTGTCCTGGTACTAATAATCCATTCTGTTCTAAAGAGGATAAATTAATTCATTTTCCTGAGTTTGCTTTAAAATTGCCAACACTGACAACAATTATATTAATTTCTGAATACACGCTCTTTCAAAAAAACAGACATATTTGCAACCAACCAAAGATGATCTCAAATGCTATGTTACCATTTGACTTTTTCATGGTAAAACAGCATTTGAGATCACCCATCATCAAAGAGGTGTTCCAAAAATCCATATATTGGGTTAGCTCCTACGCATTCAGTGAAATTCTGCTTACTTTGGAGGAAATTTTCTTTCACTGATTTCACTTTGCCTTTGCATCTCTCTTTGCCTCCATGAAAAGCTGCTCTGGTTGGTTGGAGGTACTTTTGGAACAGTGTGAGAGGTGGCACTGTGGAGTGTAGGGCAAAGGAGCAATTGGCAGAAATTGGCACCCTTCCCCCTTCCCCATCTGGAAGCCTCCTCTCAATCCTAGTTCTGTCTGTAAGACAAAAGAGCTTTTCTCTTAACAGAGAAGCAAATCTGCATCCATCCATTCAGTGTCACTGTTATTAGTATTAATATTCACTGCCATCAGTGTGTATAGCAGTGAGGTCTTACAGAATTACATAGGCAAAAATAGCCAGGCTTTTGCTCCCATAGAGCTTGCACTCTAGACAGCGTGAAAAGCAATGGAAAGGGGAAGGACAAAAGAAGGGTAGAAAATGCCTAAAGCCTGGAATGCTTCCCAAGAAGGCTTTTACTGTACCATCTCCCTGACTCATTTATGGATTTAACAATGGGTGCAGATACAACATCTTCCACTCATACCCCTCTCATATCTCCCTATTATTCAGGGAATCACCATCAGAAAGCAGGTGATCACAAACTTCTCCAGACCAGGCTTTAATTGTGCATTCACCATTCCTCAATCATGATTGTTTATGAGTGCTTTATGTGATATCCTCACCATCTAGTTTCACTTCTGTTATTTAAAAGCAGTTTCACAAGGGCTTTCTGGGGTGAGAAAAATGTTTCTTCCTTTGGCAAAAAGAAACAAACACAAATTGTACACTGTAGTTCTGTGATTCTGCTATATCATAGCATCAGCTACAGGTTATGCAGAGGAAGGTACAGAAAAGCAGGAAAGGCAAATGATTTTACTTAGAGCTCTAATTTTAATTCTGTAGTGAAATGGAAAACAGCAACATCAGGTTAAACCACACTTGGTCTTTTTTCTCACAGCAGAAAAAGTGTTAAGGAAAAATGATGGAATTGTATTTGTAGCACAATGTCTTTTGATTGGTTAGAACTGGGAGTGAGGATTAAAAGGTTAGGCCAAAACTTATATTTGGGTTAAATATTTTTTTGCAAGTGCAGATGTGTTGTAAGTAACCATCACTTTCTTTTTTAAGTATTAATCTGTGTCCTATCTTCCCCTTACCAGATTTGAGATAGAAATTGAGCCATTATTTGTAAGCTTGGCCCTCTATGATATAAAAGAAAGGAAAAAGGTAAGAGTGCAACTACACAAAGCTAAGGGTGATAGTAATAATAATAAATAAGAGCAATAATAAAACTATATAAGTAATGCACTAGTTTGCAGCATCATTTTTCATTTCAAATTAATAATATCCACATTGCCTGTTGTTAGCACTGTACCTTGAGTGGCTACAGATGTCTATGGCAGGTAGAAAGCCAGTGTGGTGTAGTGGTTAAGAGCATGGGACTGGGACTCAGACGATCTGGGTTCGAGTCCCCACTCAGCTATGGAGCCAACTGGGTGACTTTGGGCCAGTCACAGACTCTCAGCCCAACCTACCTCACAGGGTTGTTGTTGTGAGGATAAGATGGAGGAGATGTAAGCTGCCTTGAGCCCTTTGTAGGAAAAAAGCAGGATATAAATAGAAAAACGAACGAATGAATGAATGAATGAATCATCTTAGCACTTAGCTGCCTGGTGAAGCAAACTTTACCAGAGCTCTGCATTCCACTGATAGGTAGGGTAGCAGGGCTTGATAGAGTGTGGCTCACTGCCTGACCAGATCCTACAGGTAACCATTGCTTCTCATGGAACTGAATAGATTCTGCAGTATATTTACAACAGCTGTCACAAGATAAATCGGGGGGGGGGGGGCAAACCTCACACCTGTATCCTTAATCTGCCTCAGGCCCCAGTCTGGCCCTCTGGGGATGGCCTGCCACTTTTCTCATGGTTTCACAGCTTTTCCAGCTTTTTCCCTATTCTAAAAGGTTGAAATGCCCCTCCTGGAGCTTAGCTGCTTGCAGTAAGAAATTTACAGGCTGGTATTTCTGGCAACGCTTCTTTTGTCTTTGATCCGCCCCACCCAAATTTAATTTGCTTTCAGGCTGAAAAAGATTCCATTGCCCTTCAAGTGAATGATTGTTTGTAATTGCACTAACTTCAGTTTACTTAATATTTTCAAAAGTGTCAAAATGAGACAAGAGGATAAATGAGAAGATAATTTTGGCTAATGTTTGAGTTTGGTTTCCAGGGGATTGGTTGTTTTATTTGATTCTCAGAATTATCTTATGAAATTAGTCAATGAAGTTAAAGCCCATCAAAGTGAGGGTCTTTATTAGAGCTATAAAGAATCTGGCTCAATATCTGTATTGTAGCAAATGTATAATTACCATGAGTATGACTGTATTACATTGCTTGAATGCCAATTTCCATATGGAATGTGAAATTTCTTTTCTTTTTAAGATCTCAGAGAATTTTCATTGTGATTTGAACTCTGAACCTTTCAAAACATTTTTACGATCACACACACCCTGTATTGACTCTTCTAGTCAGGCGAGGTCTGCAGTATTTTCAGTTACGTATCCCTCTCCAGATATCTACCTAATATTGAAGGTAAGTCCTATTTGTATCCTAAGGCTGTGTTTTTTTCTTAAGGGGAAATTCTGTGGCCCCTAGACAGCTTCTAGGAATCAGAACTTTACCCTTCTGTTCCCTCACAGCATGGCAGCAGCTGTATGCCAAGAATATGACCTTGGAGAGGGGTAAAAGGGGGTGTTTCAGTGGGCAGGGAGGGGAGGAGGCTGTATGGCTTTCCCCCTAGGATGATAGGCTCCCAGATGAGTTCCACAGGGTGACAGTTGATGAAAGCATTGGAAAGATTATGTAATCCCTGGGCATTCTAATGCCTACTGTAATCTCAAATGCCGCTGAATTTGGATTAGGTAGTAAAACTTTAGAAAAAGCGAACAAGCCTTATTCAGCAGCAAATAAAGAATATGGAGGTCATCCGTCTCTACCTTATTTTGCAACCCTGTCAGTACATTGTTACTATCCTTACTATGTACGTGTAACACACACACACACACACACACACACACATAATATATTATTGTTGTCTCCAACAACGATAATTGACAAGTTAAAGGTTTGCATTGATAATGGGGAGATAATGGGTTTTGAACACTTTCTTTTGCCTCCTTTACTGCTGCTTTTCTATTAGGAATTGAAAGTTGGATAAATGCACCAGAATGCAGTCAAATCTTGTCAATCTGTTCCCTGCTTCACCTTGTTGCTCCCTTTAACAGCTGAAACAGACAAGGACACTGTGCAGACAACTGTACAAACACACTTGTGAAAGACTGGCAAAAATAAGAACAATAATTTTAAAAATCATCAGCAGAATTGCACGATTTTCTGAGCCTGAAAAAAGTTTAAAAATATGACCCCAGTAGCATATTTTTTGGACTTGGAGGGAAAAAACCCCAGCAGCAAATGAAAAAGGGTAGTGATCAGAGAGGACAATGAGCACATCAAGATGTGCTCTGCTGCAAGGGACACTGGGATACTGGATGAAGGACCAGAAAGGCAGGAGTGAGAGCGGCTAATTTGTAGGGCGGCTTACTGTGACTTGCACATGTGGCCCTATTCTGTCTGCTGCTTTAATTTTCTTTTTAACATCTAGATTTTTAGCATTCAGTTATTTTTTCCGTTTGAACCAAGGTATTTATCAATGCACAAGTGCACAGTATTTCACTGAAAGAAATACTACAAGTTTTATCCTCTTCTGCTAGTGAGGAATGACACTTGGAGTAGATTTAAAGCTCTTAAGTTTAAAGTTTTGACATATCACTTGTTTTTTCAGTACCCTACCAGGATAACCTGCAGAGCTAAGCAAAACAGTCATTTAGAGACCATCACAGATTTATATATTGTGAAAAACACTTTGTAACTAGGTGATTATAGATCATATTCTTGATTTTACTATGTTGATTTATACAGGTCCTAGCAAAATAATTTATTATATTTCATATCATTTTCTATTATTTTGATTTATTAATTAATTTATTTTGGCAGATTGAGAAAGTACTTCAGCAAGGTGAAATTGGAGATTGTGCAGAACCCTACATGGTTCTAAAAGAAAGTGAAAGTGGAAAGGTAGGAATGATATGCTAAAGAATTTTCAATAAATGAGCATATGAATTCATCTGATACCTCTGACAAATATGGCTTCAACCAAAATAAATCTTAGGGCAGAATCCTATGCATGTTTAGACAGAAAAGAGTCCTACGGGATCTCTGGGGAATGCTGGGATTTTGTAGGATTACTTTCTGTGTAAACATGCATAGGTTTGTCCCCTATAGTATTCATACTTCAATTTAAATCCAGTGCCATAGGGCCTTGATTTTTATGAGTAAAACACACATACCTACAAGGTGGCGGAGGGTCTGTTTGTGTCTGTATTTATGTGTAAAGGGTTTGCAGCAGAAGTAGCTCAGTACTCCTCATAAGGAGCACAATCTAAGGCAAAAGTAATTATGCATTAGCTTCTGGACTTCAGCAGGCTTTGGAATGCTGATCTCTGGGACTGTGATTCTGAGCCTCCTCCTGTTCTGCAGCAGCACAGGGGGCACTGTGTGTACCTTTCCACATCTATTAACTGTGGCACAGGTCCTCCCAGATTTCTGGTATGAATAGGCACATAATTTTTGCTTGCCCCTGTCCACTTATTTTCTGACATCACTTGGTGGTTCCAGCTATACTGATTTAGCATCCTCATACGGGGTTGTAGCTAGTGGGCTGTATCTGGTGTTAGTCTTCCTTGATCCATTCATTTCATTCTGTCTGCTCTGGGGTAGAGAGCTTTACCTGGCCCAGTGGTCAAACTGGTTCCAGGCAAGTATGTCATGATTGCCCATATATGCACACACTTATGCACACTTTCCACACCTCAACTAGGCTTTTTACAAGCCTTTATTGATAGATCAAGTGCTTTAAGAAAGCCTGATTGCAGTAGGAGAAGCTTGATTTTTTTGAGTAGGGGGAAGCACAGTGTTGGAGGAGAAGGTTAGCCTTTCTCTCTCCATCTGCCCCCACTCCCTAAAAATGCCCCCAACCCCAATGTTGCAATTAGGTTCCCACTAGAACTAGTGGAGGCTCTTAAAGAACCTTAATGCAGCAAGAGAGGGGCAATTTTTGAGATGGGAGTCACAGAGTTGGAGGGATGAGGGCTAGTCCTCTCCTCCCTACCAGCTGTCCCATCCCAGAGGTAGCACACAGCCATCAAGCCATTGATGGGCATAATTAAAATAGTCAAATAAGTTTGGGGTTGGGGATCTCCTTATGTAACTATTATGTAATCAAATATTGGAGATAATTTAATTTAGGAAAAAATGCCATTGGGTCGATTACTTAGTAGAAAATTCAGAAATTAATGCTAAATTTAACTCTGGGCAAAAGGATATTGGACAGTGTTGGTGGTAAGTAAATAACGTGTTGGATGTATTCTCCAATATCAGCCTAGTTCATTAGAAGGCATTCCAGTTGTATTAATTTGAGGCATCTGGAGAATAATTAAAAGATATTGCTAATATGCTCTGAAAATAAATGTTTAGTCTGTTTCTATTTTGAGTATGCTCATCCATCTCTCCTAGTGTTCTATCTAGCATTCTGTCTCCTTTTTCCCTGCTTCTCAGACCAAAGAAAAGGTTGAAAAATTAAAAACCCAAGCAGAGTCTTTTTGCCAGCGTTTAGGAAAGTACCGCATGCCTTTTGCTTGGGCTTCTATCAGCTTAGCAAATTTCTTCAATATTTCAACACTTGAAAGAGATATTGCAGAGGTAGAAGTTTTAAATGGTAAGTTTGGGGCTGTTGGGGGGTGGCTTTGCATATACATGCTAGTCAATATAATGCATTTTAATAACAGTGTAAGAAAGTGTCTTTGTTCTAGGTACCAAATTATCATGTAAGGTAACGTGTTTGACATCAGTTTTGTTCTCATAATTTTATAATTTTGACTCTTAAATGATTTCTGTAGAGATAGACTGAAATGAAAATGGAGTTAGCTACTCACAATGAGTGGGAGGTGCACACAGCTGAAAAGCCACCTGTATAGCAGTTGTCCTATAAGCAGTGCTTTTTTTGTAAAAAAAAAAAAAAAAGGTGCTGGAACTCACGTCCCCGCCGGCAGTAAGCACACACACCAATCCCAAGCCAAGCAGCAGCAGAGCAGCGTCCCAAGCAGCTATCTCTCACTATCAGATAACAGCAGACCCAATAGCAACCTGCAGGCACTATGTTAATGATGTTTGCTGCTGATCTTTGTAAAATCCATTGGAAAAAAGGTGCCGAAACGCTGTTCTGGTACGTTCTATGACAAAAAAAGCCCTACTTATAAGTATCACAAGCAGGACTGGTCCAGGTAATTTTGTTGCTGGAAGCAAAGGGCAACACAGCACCCACTCCATGCGAGCTATAGAAGCGAACACTGGTGATGGAACAGTGTTCTCCTGAGGGCAGCAGGCTTGCTCAGGGAGTGTGGGGAATGGCGCCCGGAACGCACAGCTTTGTCCTTACGTTTGCCACCCTGAAATGGCACTGCATGTTGTTTCAAGCCTATCATATATAGCTCATTTAACTCATTAGGTTGAATCCAAAGGTTCCTGTCCTCTTCTGGAAGAGGTTGATTGGAGGAATGTTCCCTTTAGGGGAAGGAGTCTTTGAATCCAATCTTTTACTAGTTCCTCATCACATTAGGATCTGCCCTCTTCAAGAGCAAATGTTTATTAACAGGTAGTGGGTTCTGTTCCAGCTATCATAGAAGGCCTTTCCTAATTATTAAATTTATTAATTATAATCTCTCAGCCTTTCTTTCTCCTCTGTGCAATGGTTACATATCCTGCAAGTCTGTAATGAAAATAAACAGAATGTTTGGGTGATGTGTCCATGTGTGCCTGGTTCTGTTATATGTTTTTGGCTAAACTGCTTTTATATTATGCATAATACTGCATTTTTAAGGGTTAGGGTTAGGCTATTGGTTGTTATAGACATGTGAGAGAGATGAAATTAATGAAATATGGAAGTGTTGGCACATTTTTTGAATGATAGGTCTGAAGTGGGTTATATATTTTAAAAGCAAACTTTAACTTATACTGTGCTAAAAGAAGGGATAACTTTTTTTTTATTCTGCATGAAGTGTTCTTTCACAGATTGAAGGTGAAATAATGGAAAATGTAAGCAAAAGGAAAATCTTTCAGTCATTCATGTCCTGAAAGTGTCTAACGTAGCAATAGCCACGTTTCATTTTTTATCAGAATAAAGTAAGATGCTTTTGAAATTTCATATTTGAAGGCAAAGGGTCCACCGGTGATAGAAAATCAATGACATTGCAAGGAAGGAGATTTTCTGAACGAAGCCTTTACTCAGAGGATGTTCCTGGAATGCCAAACTTCAAGACCACCACATTGACCGTCAACACATTTTTTAAACAGGTACAGTATATTATCCTAAACTCTTATCCACAGAATTAGTAAGATTTGCCTCAGAAATATCCACACTTCATTTTCAGCCTCACTTTGGAATATCCGCATCAAAGCCTCCTCTGGGTCACAAAGTGGCACTAAAAGTATTTTGAACAACAGGATTACTTTTCATCTGTGATGTTCATTTTTGCTATATTTCACATTTCGATGACCATCTCATTATTTTGGAATAATGGCATAACTAGCTAATAAATACTGGGAAAAGGACTCAGCAATCTTAATAGTGTTCCAATGTGCTCTATTTTTATTCTTTAGCACTTGTATCTCAAGGTAGAGTTAAAAGAGCGTGATTGAGGCTGCAATCCTATTCTTACTTACCTTAAAGTATTTCCAGTGAATTCTTTGTGTATTATTTCTGAATGAACTTATAACATCACACTGCACATTGATAATATATTTAAAAAGTCAGTTGTGTTGACTGTAAGAAAAAAAATCTAATACCATTACTGAGCCAACTCAGAGCTTACACAGTATTTACACTATATAGATTTTGATAATATAAGAATTAGCTGAATTTACTGTTCTAATTCTGGAACTTTTAAGTTGATGAATAATTTGCCTGAGTGCTATTTTACATCCTGTTTTTGTAATTGTTTGTTTCTTTTGGTTAAATTTATATTTTAGTAAGTAAAGTAAAAGGCATAAACTGAGTTGCCCTGATTAGGAATAAGCATGATAAGCCTGAACACCAAGCATTTATGCTCATTGAACAAATGTCCCATGATCATTTTATATATCTTTCATATATAGTTAGAACAAAATTATTAATTAATTATTAGAACGTTATTGTTTTTGTACTGTTTTCAGGAAGGAGATAGACTAAGTGATGAGGACTTATTCAAGTTTCTAGCTGATTGCAAGAGAACATCTTCCTTGCAGAGAAGGGTGAAATCTATACCAGGTATTACTAATAGTAAAGTGAGATCCAGCCATTTCCAAGCTTTCCACCAGGGACTGGGTTCGGATGATCTTTCCCAACTTCATAACCCAAAGCTGATTAGCTTGGTTGGTGAACTACTGTGAAACCACAGTTCTTCAGCTTGGATGTAGTGGACATGTGGCTTAATACACAAGAGCCAGGAATGAAATGCTAAAATACATGAAAGGAGGGGGAAAAAAAGAGATGTTTTGCACTACAGATGTTTGTCAGAGAGAAAAAAAATTCCTCTGGCAATTCATGGATTTTCAGCTGACTTTCACTCTGTTGATTTTATTTTATTTTATTTTATTTTATTTTATTTTATTTTATTTTATTTATTCCATTTGCCTAATTGGAATTTGCCCAATGGCATTTACTCATAGTTGCCCAAATTTATGCTCCCCAAGATACTCAAATACGCCAAAAATGGCAAATGTTTCCATAGCATGTCTTTTTATGCTTTATTCTTTATGTTACTTTTCATTGGCTTTTTTCTCTTGGATAATTTTCACAAAATTATGCAAGATGAAAACGGGATCTGCAAGCATGGACTCTGCATGCTGCAGAAACTGTGGGGCAGATACTGAGATTTGAGTCTGTTGCAGATTTCTCCTATATCTCTGTTCTGCACCAAATATTCCTTCCTAGTGTCAGAGTCTATGGTTTATTAATCCCAGCAGGGGCAACTGGTTCAGAATGCTTCTCTCTTGTTCCTCCTCCCTCTTGTAGCCATGGTTTGTGATGCCAGGAAAGACTGGCTGATCTGTGCTGATATGTTTCTGGGAGGCAGACAGGTGTTAGAACAAGCAGTCATTGCACCTGACACAGATCATCTCAATCCTCCTAGCTGACTTTTTGCTTGTCCATATTCTACTTCTCCATCCCATCTCCATCACTTTCCCAGTGAATTAAGTAGACAGGACCTGCTCTGATACGGAAGTGTGAGACTGTATATATTTGCTCAGGGCCTAAGATCATCTTCAGAGGCCTTTGTAACAGGCAGATGGCTGTTACGGAGAGGACTTTTTCACTGGGTGCATCCCAGTTGTGGAATGCCCTCCACAGAGAAGCCCACCTGATGCTTGCGTTGTGACCTTTTCAGTGTCAGGTGAAGGCATGTTTATTTCTCCAGCCTTTTATTTCTTCAGTTTTGTTTTTAGAACTGCACACTGTTGCTAGCGTTTACTGTGGTTTTTACTCTAGTTTCATTCTTTTAAAAACTTTTGAAGTTTTATATTTTCTAATACTTTTGAGTTTCAATTTTCATAGACCACCTACAAAATGTTTATCTTAATGTAATGTGTTTAATGCATTTAATATGTTTATTTTAATGCAACATGTTTTCCTTTCATTCTATGTTTTAAGGATTACTCAAATTGGAGATCTCTCCCGCTTCGGAAGCAATCAGTTGTTGTCTTAACCCAGAATTATTGCAGGTGAAGCCATTCCCTGAAAACCGCAGCCGTCCTCATAAAGAAATTTTAGAGTTTCCTGTACGAGAAGTCTATGTCCCACACACTGTGTATAGGTAAGAGGAAAAGACCCATTAATATACAGAAACAAGCAATCAGTTTAAAATTCTTTACTTTCCCCTTCTTCTACGTCTGGTATGTTTGCTAGATGGGCTTTCAGCCCTTCAACCAAAGGTGCCTTGGAGTGGGAGGTTAAGGCTTGAGGAGTTTCCTGGCTTCTACATTCTTCTCCTCTTGCTACTCACATTCCCCCTCTCTGAGGTTGAATTTCCAGTCCTGCAGAGACACCTGGCATGAATCTTCATGTGCCAGCTGCAAAAGGGAGGGTTCTGGACTTAAATCTCTAAACTCTCCTTCTAAGGTTGAAGTACTACCACTGATCTCAGAGGGGTACTGTGAGCAATCACAGGGTCCCTGGAACATTCACTCCTCCACAACACCCATCATCTTGCACCTAAGCCAGTTGCTTCTGTTTGCTTAAAGGTAGGTCTAACCCCACCATTGCAGTCAACAATTGGCAAAGAATATTCACTGATATCTCCAATCCAATTTGAAACTTACCATTTAGGAACAACCTATTTTGTAACCTTTTTCCCCTTGAAAATGGGTTGCATTTATTTCCAAATAAATTTGCCTTGAAGTTGCATAGCTGTGTTTCAGAATACTTGAGGATTAAGTGTTTAAAAGGTAACTAATATGCCTTGAACTTTTCCTTCCTTGGCATAGAAGTTAGGATTGATTGGTATGTACTTTATTATGTCTGCAAATTCAAGGTGAACCATAGTTATGTCAGCAAAGTAATCTCTAAAAAAGAAAAACAATGGGTTTAGTACATCTAAGCTGCCTTCTGTTGATAAAACAAAAAACAGCTTTGTGCAAACAGGAGACAAATTGTATTCCATAGATAAAAGAACTGTAATCATTATGCAGTTGAAGTTTTTTCCCCCCTGTGAGGGCAATTTCTTATCTGCCTTTCAATAGGGCTGCCCTTTTTATTGGACAATTTTTCAAGAATGCAAGTCTCAGAAATTCTTGTAGGCTACGCCCCTGCTCCATTGGTGTGTCTTACCTTCCTGCCACTTCTACTTCTAAAATAAATAATTTGGGCAAAATAACCTATTTTTCTACTTCCCAGATATTCTAGAAAAATGCTAAGATCGCCTTCTTTATAACATGCCAAAACAATTATCAGCCTTCTGCATGAGGCATGTATTATGTGCTCATGAAGCCTCACTCACTTTGGTTTGCAAATGTTTCACACTACACTGTCATCCTCCAGAGCGTTTCCCATATTTTGTGACCATTTTAATGTGGGAATGTATGTGGGAAGAGGAAAGCCTCTGACATCAGAGTGAAAGCCACCTGTATTTGTTCATTTCGACTATATTGCAGTACCACCTAGTGGTTGTGTAATGGAGCATGTAGAAAAACAGAGGAAAATATATGTGATGGGGAAAATATAGGGGAAAATATATATAAAGGAATCCTTTATATATATAAAAAGGATTTTTTTCAACATGCAAAAAATCCAAAACCAGAAGCCTCAGTAAAGTGTTGGTGTTAAAAGGCACATGTAGAAAAGCTCCTTATAATTGTGCATGATAGATTAATTCTGTCTACTAAATAGATAATGAAAAGGAAATGTTGTGCATTGTTTTGCCTCAGACACAATGAAATCCAGCTGTTCTGTTAGAAACAGTCTTACATCTAACAGGACAATAATTCTCTGGAGGAAAAAAAACTATTGCTGATGAAGGCAAAGACAGTAAGACAGTACATGAACAATTATATGCATGTTTAGACAGAGAAAAGGCCTAGAACTGGGCTGGGACATGCTGGAAATTCTATCTAGGCCTTTTCTATGCATAGGATAGCACCTTAAGTGTCTCAAAATAACATAAATTTAATGTGTGTTGTTCTTTAATTTCCTCCAGAAATCTTCTCTATGTGTATCCACAAAGGCTGAATTTTGCAAACCGTCTGGCTTCAGGACGAAACATTACCATTAAGATTCAGTTTATGTGTGGGGAAGACCCATCCTGTGCAATGCCAGTAAGATAGTCTGTTGTACATCTGTATGTGTGCAGAATAGAAATGCAGGACCAGAGTCCAAATCAGAGTCTCTGAAAGTCCCAGAGGGCCATGCCTCCTCCCTCTGGTTCCACCTTCCCCGACGAGTGATTGTGTGGTAGTTTCCCATTTTCTGTGCATTTTTTCCCTCTCCATTCTAAAAAGATGAGATGATTCTGCAAACACTTGGTTGCTGGCAGTAATGGCTTTGAGCTAAAATATGCTAGTACTTCAGCTTCATCCCCTTCTCCTTTGGTCTTTTCCCTTTTGCCTTCAGCCCCCACCTACCACTGAACTGTGCTGCTGGATAGCTTCACTAGAATTCTTCCCTGAGGTTTAACATCTCTTTGTTGAAGCATGCTAAACTATCTGACAGAAATAACCCTTTCTGGCCCATACAAAGTGTCAGTTTTGCTTTATAACCTCTTTTTTTGTTTGTTTGTTTGTTTGTTTAGTATTGCTCTGTTTTGTCATAGGTCATCTTTGGAAAATCTACAGGTCCAGAATTTGTTCAAGAAGTTTACACACCTGTCACATATCATAACAAGTAAGATTGTTATATTTCTATTAGTGGCATCAGCTAGGAGGAGTAACATGGAGTATGAAGAAATCTTGGCTAAGAATCAGCGCTAGATCAATGTATGGAAGATAGGAATCTCAATGGTGAAGATGATCACTTGTGCTTGCCATGATGAAACCTTAAATGACAGGAATAGAAAAGAAATTATAAGGGAATTGATTGTTCAAGGAGTGCCCTGTATGTTGATATACTACTTCTCTAAGTTGGTGTCCTCAAGGTGTTATGGACTGTAACTTTGATCAGCCACATCTAGCATAACCAGTGGCCAGGGTTGATTGAGCTGTAGTCTAAAACATCTGGAGGGCATCATTTTAGGAAAAGCTGTTCTAGTATATCATGTAGATTACCACCAGAATCCAGGTACTTGGCTCTGTAGGCCTCTGCTTTAGTCACAGTCTTTGAGAAAGCAACAGAGGCAGATTTGGGACCAAACTAAATATTTTCTTAGCTGTGCATCATGGAACTGTGTATGGTTTCTTTCTCTGCTCTTCTGTAAATGTGTGTAGCCTCAGTTTGGGACCATGGTGCTTTGGGAGAAGAGGGTTTATACCCCTGCGTCTTCTGTTTTCATCAGGAATGCAGAGTATGGACTTGCCACATTTTGCTGTTTCCACAATCAGGCTGCATGTAGCAGTGGAAGGCTGGAAGTTCTCACTGAGGAGAGTGACAGCACCAGAGGACTCTAGTGAAGCTACAATGCTGCCAGTTGTTTAATTGTGATTAAGCCATCAGGAGTATGAATTCCCCCACTGGGCTCTTAACCATAATTGTTATATTGGCAGTGACAATAACTGGCTAGGGCCAAAGAGCATTCTTACTTAGCCCTACTTAATCTGAAATATGACCCACTGTACCCATGATTAATTTCACTGCTGATGAAATAGTTAATCACAGGTTCTGGTGGGAGGAAATGGAGCTTCAGGAGAACTGGGGAAGGGGAGAGGGGGATGTTAAATAATTCTGTAATTTTTGTACTTGCTTCTGGTCTGCACCAGTCCTAAACACTATCAAAAGTTTGATTTTAGATATCTAAAAGCCATTGAGAGTTATATTTTGAATTGATAAATATTGATTTCACTCTTGTAGATATCTTGATTTTGCTTTTTTGTCTTGATCTGCAGAATGCAAAGCACTTCATTTTCAATCCACAATGCATCAATTATGGATTATGTGTATAGATAATTATGTATATGCTTATGTATTTACATTATTTATATTTAATTATGTATATTCCTTATATACATCTGTGCACTCCAGTTTCATGTCTTAAGAAAGATGTAGATACATTTTATTTATTACTGGAACCTTCCCCCCCCCCAACAGGTGTCCTGACTTCTACGAGGAAGTGAAAATTAAGCTCCCAGCCAAACTGACAAAAAAACACCACCTGCTGTTCACATTTTACCACATCAGTTGTCAGCCAAAACAAGGAGCATGTATAGAAACTCTCCTGGGATATTCAGTAAGTTACATGCAACTCACATCCATTAGCAACTTCACTGAGAAATAAATAGGTAACATTCTCCACATATCTGTCAGCTGTATTCCATTGCTACAATTTACCCACATAAAACTTACAACAAAATGTGGTTAACAGATTTAAACTCTTGTCTGCAAGATTTCAAAGGTGCATGAGTGAAATACACTTCAACCTATTATAATAACAGGCGTGTAATTTATACATGAGAACAGTGCGCAAAGAGGTATGTGGGATGAGCATGACTCTTGCACCGGTGATGCTCATTTGACTCACTCAGGCAACACAGGCAATATCCAGCATCATATGCAGTAATGAGATAACACTCTGTTTTCCTCTTCATCTGTTTCAGTGGCTGCCGATTCTGCTAAATCATCGTCTTCAAACAGGACATTATTGCCTCCCTGTTGCCTTGGATAAACTGCCTGCCAACTATTCAATGTACTCAGCAGAGGTAATGGGAGAAAAAACATTAAAAGAAACATTTTGCCCAGCTGGAGAGACCTGGTTGACTTCCCCCGCAGTAACCTAATATTTGCCTGCCTTAAGTAGAGGAGCAGATGTGCATGCATGTGGAACAAACGTATGCCCACGTCTATTTAAATACTGTCAGTACATGTTAGAACCATGTGCTTTGCCTAGCTTTCCATCTGTGAAGGGCTCAGTGGGAACATTTTATACAAAAGTGTAAATTTTAGCTAAGTATCTCAAGAACCATGGAGTTATTTTGCAGGGCATAATCTGATTCTCTAATATGAAACAAGAAAAAGGTCTGCATATCCAGCGTACTTACAAAAATGGAGTGGAAGCTTATTTTGAAAAAAATACATACATCTGAACTGGATCATTTTGAACATGAGAGCAGCCATGCTGGATTAGACCAGCACTCTATTCACAGTGGAACTCCAAGATCTCTCGAACAGGATGGTCTGATCCCCCAAGAGTGCTGCCCGCCTAGGCTCCTCAGCAACTGGTAGACACAGGTATGATGCCTCTGATAACAGAGGTATCAAGCCAACCAGGCTAGTGGCCAGCAGTAGCCTTCTCCTCCATGAATGTGTCCAATTTGATAACAGGATTATTTTATACCGCTCAGCTTTTTTCATGTTAGAAATCCGACACATAATAGAAGCGCTTGGTTTGCTTCCTGAGACTACTGATGAGGTTCTTCGAATCCAAGAAATGTTGGAGGGAGAAGGGGGAACATTCTAAGAATACAATGCTGGATGAATATAGATTCCAGTCACATCACCACAACTTTTTTCAGTGGAAGGCTGAGACACAGTTTAGGCACTATTTTGTTTAGTTTTGCAACCTGTTTGAGTGGTGTCATCTGTCCCTAACTTTGTGCTTATATTAATAAATGTAATCTATGAATTAGGAAGCCATTGTTAAAACCTGTAGTTTACAAAGAGAAAGCTTTGTAGATGATGTTTTGGTCAATTTCCAACAATGAGCCCCAGTGAACTTTGACTGACATGAATTAAACACACAGGGTTTAGAAAGCAGCATGCAATGATTTAGGCTTTCCTGATCTGATGCCCTCTTGAGTGACCATCCCACAACTCACCTCATTTCCATTGAGTATGGCTATGTTTGGCTGAGGATGATGGGGATTGTAATCCATCTAGAGAGCACCATCCCTCCAATGGAAATGGCTTGGGTTGGAGAGACTGAACTGTAAATATTAATGTTAGGTGTAATGTTAAGTATTAATTGCAAAAAAGGCCAGATTGTGTGCGTGGGTGTCATTGTATTAGCATTTCAAATGCATTGTGTTTATGTATATGGCTTGATTGCCCTTTTATTTTCAATATAGAAAGTTCCTCCACAATCACCTCCAATTAAATGGGTTGAAGGCCACAAAGGGGTCTTTAATGTTGAAGTCCAAGGAATATCTTCAATTCATATGCAGGTAAGGGATTTATTTTCTACTTGGGCCTAGTGACCCCATGCTGAGCACATGGGGAATTATTTTTCTTTCACGCATCACTTGGCTGCAATGGTTTACTTCTGAAACTTCCAAATGTAAAAAGAACCATGAATTTATGTAGTATCTGAACTGTAGTAGAACTAGAATCAGATTCCTGTTGAAGCCAAGAATAAGCCCAGCTGGAAGTGCAAGGCATCTCAGTTTTACATACAGTTCTGTAATTTTTCCCCAGTCTTTTAAATAAAGAAACAGCAATGAAGCACAGACACTGTGTCTGCAATTTGTGAAAGAAAACCACTGTGCACTTTTATAGTTTCAGAAGTTATCAGAGAAGCCAGCTAGATGGGAACATAAACTCCCACTTGAACTCACATATTTGCCCTATTGTAGAGTTTGGAAACAAGGTGTTAACTCCCAGTAAACTTGGGCAGTCTATCATTAGATGCTCAGTGCAGTCTGCCCCCACCCCACAACTTTGATGGCCTTATTGTCTGTATTCCAGGTTATTTACTTATTTATTTATAGCATAGTTATTCTGCCCTTTAGTCAAGCATGCTCACAAAGCAGCTTACAAAGATGAGAAATAAAACAATTGTTGCTTGAAGGCTTACAATCTGAAAAACTTAACACAAAAGGAAAGGAGAAGTTACTAAACCCAAGTAAATACATAAATAACAGTTTAGCATCTCCACAATGTTTTACAACTGGGTTTGCATTTTTAAAATTATCAGAGCTTCAAGAAGCTATGCTGCATAACCTGCAAAAATAAGGAAACATTTGTCCTCATGTTTTAATTCTCTGCTATTTGATATGTAAGAAATGTCCTGTATCATGTACATCTTTCTGAATTTTTTTTGACAGGACAATCACCTAGAGAAATTCTTCACCCTATGCCATGCACTAGAAAGCCAAGTCACCTTTCCTATCCGATTGCTAAATGAAAAGATCACAGAAGCTAATCTTGAACCTGAGCTGAAACTGAGCCTTGTCTGCTTGAATTCCTCCCGCCTTGAGCCCTTAGTATTGTTCCTACACTTGGTTTTGGATAAGCTGTTTCAGCTGGTGGTCCAGCCCATGATTATAGCTGGCCAGACAGGTACTTCCTATTACAGATTTGCACAACTGTGCTATTCATGTTAAATTTCACCAAATTAGCCAAGGGATGCTTTGCTAATTTAGAGGATGGGGGCATATTGACAAGAAACTGTGTTATTAACAACACCAACCAATATTTCAAATTGTTTCACTTTCCCGCATATAGGAATAAAAAACATTATTATTCCTACAATAACTGTTCAGTCGGCCAAGGCTGCCATATTAACAGTGTGGTCCTCTGTGTTTATTTAGAGGTAAGTCTCACTGAATTCAGTGGGGCTTACTCCCAAGTAAGTATGTATAGTATTGCAGTCTTAGTATAGTGTGTTTTTATAATAGCTCTCTAAGGTTTGGATCAAGTTTGGGTTGCGGAAAGTATCTGCCTACTGTGGATGGAAGGGTTCTCTTTATGGAGAGCCTTTGTACCTGGTTTTCAGGCATTCCCCTACACTACAAGTCACCCCATTCAGTCAAGTTCCTTGATCCTTAGTGTAACATTCTCAGCGTGGTGCTTTGGGGAAGAGGGAGTGGGAAAGTCTGCCAGTTCCTGACCCATTTCCTATGCTGGCTGGTGCTGATGAAAGTTGCTATTCAAAATATCTGAAAGATATCAGGTATCAGGAAGTCAATCTAGTATTTATATCCTGCCCTTATGAATACAAATCATCTCAAGGATTCTTGGATTATGGTAGAGTATATAAATAAATCATAGTAAACCATACCAAAGCATAATAATTCAACAGGATCCTTTCCACAGGGCATTTGGTGGTAAATAATGCTTATTGGGGCAGACTTTAATGTATTCTTCAGCTGCTTCCCTCTCTACCTTGTTTCTGGTGGCCCAATTTTTCCACTGAATTCCATGTTGGCCACATTTTACTGGGGAAAGAGAAGACCATTTTTCTAGTAGCAAGGTTTTGCACTGGGTTGGGTATAGGGGAGCTTTTCTCCCATAAACCGCAGAAGGAAGAAATTGGGAATTTTATCAGTTCTCCAGCCCATCCAATAGCAGAGTCAGAAATCTGGAAAAAATGCAGCAATTATCTATGTACAATAGTTTAGAGTTCAAAACAAATGGAGACTTGGTCCTAACTTATTTTCTGACATTCAGAACTGAGTTGAATGCTTCCCTGCAACTGCTCCTTATCAAATCCTGAAGAGTAGCTTAGGACTTTGTTAATATACAGTGGTGTAAAATGCTAAACTGATAGGGCATTGGTCTTCAACTGATCACTTTGTATCTACTCCTGGGTTGCAGCCTGAGCTAAGGTGGGTCACACCATATGAAGAAGTGGGTCTCAAAATGCTTATTAAAATGATCTCTAGTCTGAAATCATAGATTATTGATTAGGGCATATTTTGTTTTATGAACAAAGCATTGTTTAGAAAGTTATTTGAATAAGAACAATAGGAGTTTTAATCACAGGTTTTGTATTTTATTATCAGTTTTAAAATGAATTACAATATTATATTTCCAGGTTAAGATAGCCAAATGGTAATGGACGAGATTAAATAGGGAAATATATTATCATACAAGGAGTCCCTGTGATAATGTGACCTTCAGTCTTTTTACATGTTCTGTGTGGTCAACTGCATCAGAAACTAAGTCTTCTATTTTTGTTTCCAGCCAACTTCTCTCAATATGCCTTTGAATCCGTGGCTTCAGTTGTGAACAGCCTTCACAACAGCAAAGACCTAAGCAAGGACCAGCATGGGAGAAACTGTCTCCTGGCATCTTATGTTTACTACGTGTTCCGGCTTCCTGAAGTTCAAAGAGATGTTATCAAACTGGGTATTGTCACTGAGCTTTCTGTAAAAATAAGTTGCTCACAAACTGAATCTTCCAGTTGTGAGTAACAGGTAGAAACTCCAAGGGCCTTACTCAAAGTTAGAGTGCCTTGAATTACAGTATCACTGAGGAAGACCCAGTTGAGTAATGAGGAGGTCATACCTGGTTGAGCAGTTCTGGTGTGTACATTAAGTGATGGTCACAGCAAGCAAACAGTACCAGAAATACCATCAGTGGCATTGTGGCCAATAGGTACAAACTCTTAAGCAGTGGGCAACTTGTGACTCTCCATATGTTCTGGCTTACAATTCTTGTCAGCTGTAACCATCATAGCCAGTCCTGAGGGACTGAAGAATCATAGGCCAAAACATCTCCAGGACCATAAGATGGCCAACCCTGACGGCAAATGCCCAGTGGCATTTTTGTCAACCTGTCATTAACTAAGTATGAAATCTAAAACCTATTTTTAAAAATGAAAAATGGCATAAATGCAGTAACATGACTCTTCTGGAAGAGAATTCATTTGCACTTTGGCTACCTTGTGACAATCACCTGATAAATAGCTAGGTTGCGATCAACCAGCCATCCACCATCTGCATGCTCATGGGTGATGATCACAGATATTCTGAGTATGACCACCACAAAGATTGCCTCATTTAGTAAAGCTAGAATCATAGAATCATTCCATGCATGATTCTAAAGAATCATACATGGACATTATGCAAAGCCTGAGCTGGTTTTATTCTTTTGAGTTAGCGCCAGCTATCAAAGATACAGACTGGTGTTCAGTTTGAAAAAGCAGCTGATCTCCCTGGCAGTGAGTGCTGCTGCCTCAAACGTAACAAATGCTCAGAGAGTCATCTTAGAAACATAGAAACAGAATGAGTCAGAAGAAGCCTCCTGGGCCATCTAGTCTGACCCCCAGCTCCAGCCGGCCCCACTCATGACATGCCTGCCATGTGCATGTCTAGCCTATCCTTGAACACCCTCACCAGTGGGGCTTCAATCACCCCCCTTGGAAGCCCATCCCATACCCTAGGGGTCCTAACTGTCAGAAAGTACTTCCTGGCACCCAAATTGAACCTTGGTTCCCTGAGCTTTGCTCCATTGGAACGCATTATGCTCTCTTCTGCAAGGTCTCTACCCATCTCCATGTGGCACCCCCTTATGTACCTATATGTTGCCAACAGATCCCCTTGGGGTCTCCACCAGGCTGAAAAGATCTTGCTACCTCAGTCTCGCCTCATATGGCTTTCCCTACAATCCGGCCACCATCCTTGTGGCCCTGTGCTGCACCGATTCTAACCTGGCTATATCCTTCCTGTAACAAGAGGCCAAGAACTGAACACAATACTCCAGTTGCGGGCACACCAGAGTCAAATAGAGTGGTAGTAATATCTCTCTTAACCTAGAAGCCACATTTCTGGTTGTGCAGCCAAGGGTGGCATTTGCCCTCTTGTCTGTTGTGCCACACTGCTAACTCATGTTTAGCCTGCAGCCGACCAGTACTCAGAGATCCCTTTCAGAAGTGCTGCTTTTCAGCCACTTGTCCCCTAACCTGTACCTATGACACCCATTCCTATTTTAGTATCATCTTGACTAACAAGAGGTATAGAAATTAAATAAAAACAAATTAGATCAGTGCAGTCATACTCCTATACAGGTTTAGACAGAAAAAGTCTAAATCTTACAACTCACAGCCAGAGAGTCAAATGCTCATCACAAAAACCATGTAACGGCTGGGATGTGGTGAAGCTGCAACTCTATATATGGTTAGACAGAAAGAAGTCCTTCAACTCCCAGCAGTCCCAAGTTAGCCATGCTGAACATGCACAGGGTACCTTTTTCTGGGCCTGGTTGCGATTATGTGCATAGAGTGGGCAAGGATGGGGAAACAGTTGTTAAGATTGTGGCCAGGTTAAATTTTCTTGGGCATTAGTGCCAGTAGTACTTGTTTCATTGCTGAAGATTGATTCAGTTACTCAGAGCATTTCAATAGACAGGTTTCAGCCTAGGACAAAATAAAGAGTTTCTTGGACTATACCTTTTCAAACTGCAAGATTGTGTGTTCAAATGTTGCTCCACAAAAAAGACTCCCAGCAGATTTTCTGCTACACTGCTTCACCATTTCCTGGACATGCAGTTTTTTTAGGCATAGGGAGGAGTCAGTTTCATTTTATTGAAAGTGCTGATCATATGCCTTTTTCATTTTGAAAAAATGTACAGCATTCAAGTTTTAGCTTTCTGGCCTGAAAAATCTCCTTTCCCTGGCCTGAAATGGAAAAGCTTTGCTGTTTGTTTCTGTTCCTTGTATAAGTGGGCTTTAAGCCTCAATCTGGCTTATCACTTCTTGCAGGTTTCATTTTATAGTTATACAAAAGCCTATTTTTACTCGTACAGCTGCATGACAGTAGAGAAAGGTGCCTTGGATGGGAGGGGGAAACGTGAATGTGAAAACTCCAGGGACTCAGGTGGGAGACCTCTCGAGCAGAAACAGGGTCTGCCTGGGGGTAGGGGCAGGATATTAGCCTAGGCGGAGGGAAGACGTCTGCTATAGAGCAAAGGGATGAGAAGGATCAGGGGACAGGATCAGAAGATGAAAGTCATTTATTTTGTAGCCCAGCTGGGCTGCGGTAACATTATTGTTGTTTTTTTCTGCAGGTACAACAGGAAGTGCCAATCTTCCTGAATCCCGTTATTACACATATGGACGCACCACAGCTGTCTCTGTGGGCTCTAGGCTCTTGCAGAGCAAGGTAACAAGCTGCAGTAATCCAGACATTGCTGGGATGCAGGCTGCTACAGATGAAGAAGTCAGGAGCATCATGGCCACAACGGTAGGAGGAGATAATAAAATACCAGCATACCAAATTCAGCCTCACATTTCCTTTATAAGGCTTATCGTTCTTCCCCAGAAGCTCATGTATCTAGAAGTTATATTGCAAAGACTAGAGTCACAGTATAAGCTAAGCAAATTGCAGGAGTGCTTTAATGGCTGTTCTGATCACCTGCATCTGCTGGCTAGGGAAGGCTGCAAGTTGATTTTTCTGCTTGACTATTGTGATCTTACTAATCTCATGTGAGACTCCAAGGCAGCAAATGTAAAGGACACCACGGCTTGTAATAGTGCTGGAACTACCAAAATACAGGATTACATAATATAGGCTAAAAAGAACTCAGCCTGGATTAACTCCAAAAGTTACATGTAATTTTAGAAAAAGAAGACTTTAGCAAAAAAAAAAAAAAAGAAAAAAAGGAAGGAAAAGGAAAAAAGTGGACTCCTTCACTGCATATATGCTGCTGATGAAGTCCTTAACTGACTTTCACATAATGACCTTCCCATATTGTCAATGGCATTATTTCTGTCACAGAGCAATAAATGTCTATCTTAGAGAGTTGTATTATTGAATTAAATAAGTAATTTTCCAATGACTATAGTATAAATCTTACTTTATACCAGAGAGGTGACTTGTCTACAAGACAATGAATTATTCTATCCCTAATAGGATAGAAAATGATAGAATAGTTAATACACCTCCTGTCCCTAACGACTATGAAGAAAATTTCATTAGGTACTGAATTGGGTTCCAATTATTGTTTTACATTTTCCAAAGGGGAAAGAGTCTTCTTTCTCTTTTTAAATTAGAGGTGAGCTATTCATTTTCCTTTTTCCCATTTCATTGCAATATTGCTGAAGAAGTACCAAACTGGAACACATGGGGGCAGTCATGTATGTGCATTGCTTAATTTATTGAGAATATAACAACACTGCCATTATAGACTTCATGCAAGGATAATTTTGCTTGTATTCCCTCTCCCCTCCCCTCCCCTCCCCTCCATAGTTGCCCTCCCAGTAATTCTTTTATGTATGGCTTTTGGTCATTTCCTCTAGGTTGCAGATCGGAGCTACAATCGGATGTCTTACTATAGTGAGCCTGGCAGTGTTATGTCAAGCCCCTGTCAAAGTCCTCAGCCACCCAGTAAAAAGGTAGGCTGCTACATAATGCCAAACTAGTCATTGAGAAACTCTGCTCGTCAGTTGAAATACTATAAGCAGGCTGCTTGTGACAACAAGGGGAAGATGCAATAAACTATCCTTCCTCAAGGGAAGAAGATTAGGACAGAAAAACTGTCTTAAAGAGAGTCACATGATTGCCAGTGATGTTTTCATGAATTCCTTTAAGTCAGGGGTCTCAAACTCACAGCCCGTGGGTCAATTGCCGGGATGGGAGGTGCACGGGGGAGGGGCCCTGCGGCCTTCAAAGCGCCAGCGGCACCCAGGCTGGCCACGGGATGAGCGGCCCACCACCACCGCAGTGGTGGAATACTTGATGTGGCCCAGCCTCACCCAGACTCTACTTCCAGCGGCCCCCAGGTAAGATGAGTTTGAGACCCCTGCTTTAAGTGCTTATGCAAGCTATAATACTGGCATATGATGCTGAAAAATAACATTTTAAATCTTAAACTACAATTATAAGCATGCTTATTAAGGCGTAAGCCCCATTCATTACAGGGGGACTAACTTTAAGCAAATATGGTCACAGTTACACAGTTAAATCATTTCCAAGTGAGTTGTGTTGTATAACACCTTTTTGAAAATTCCTTCAAATTACCATATTCTTTTGGGTTTCTGTTTCTGTTCCTTCTTCTCTTCCAGCAGAAAAGTAGTGAAAGGCCCATGATCCAAGGGCTGGGCATATTTATTTATTCATGTATTCGCTTTCTGTACCAACCATGAACCAAGATGATTCTATGGGTGGTTTGGAGAACCCCGGGTGGATGCCTAGGAGAGCAGTTTTGATGGTGCAAATCTTTTGCATATTCTTCTAGGGTACAGGGACATTAGGAAGACCTGTATGTAGGGAAGACAAGGGATGGCCTTCCATGGCAACAAGCACATTAAAAAAGGGACACCAGTTTGAATACCGGTTTGCAGAAGGCCAGTCAGAATTATGCATTAATTAACTGTTTAACCCACATATGCAATACATCCTTCAGATATGATGCCTGTGTGGTATGATTCATTTTGCTTTAACTACAGCTAAAGGCTGCTGTGTTGTTTGATGTGTCAGTCTCCTTTTGCAAATGTTTTCCCTTGTAGAATTAATCAGTCAAAATGGATGGCTGGAAATCACGTGGACCCTCAATCTGGCTGTGCATAAAGTAGCTCATCTGTACTAGATTTTTGCCTTCTGTTCATAATAGTTTAAGCAACGTGCACCTAAGATTAATTGTAATTCCTCTTATATCCACTCTGAAGAAATGAGCCTTTATGATTATTTGTAGTTCTTGCCTTGTATGATTTGTTAATTTGTTGTACATGTGGCCATCCCAATGTATTTTGCTGCTTGAGGCAAAGTGCAAGTTGGTCTCCCTCCAGTTGCATGTACAAAAACCAGCTGGGCAGGCAGTTGGATCTTCCTCTAATATTGGTAATGGAACTGCTTCCTGCATTGCAGGAAGGCAGCAGGCTAACTTAGGGAGCAAGTTGCATAGATCACAACACCTTGCAATCATCACTTCCTAGCATCTGCTGCCTGAAACAACTGCCTTACTTTGCCAAATGTTAGCACTGGGCTTGCTTTTACTGCAGTGCAACCATTTAGGTATTGCTCTTTATTTGTTTTATTTATTTATTAAAACATTTTTATGCCGCCCCATTCGCCGAAGCCTCGAGGCGGCTCACATTGCCATTGTAAAATGCACATTAAAGATATTTTTCTGTGTGCTGTTGTACCCCATTGTTCTCAAATTTGCTAGTGGAATTTGCCATGGAATTTGCTACTTCCTCTTGCTTCTACTGGTCCACCAGGTTTTCCTTGATGTTTCTCTGCTCTGTCTTTAAAAGGAAAAGCTATCTGGGATTTTCTCCTCTCAGAATTATGCTTTAAGGTCTAATGCTGAAAGCCAAACTATACTGACATTTTGTTTTCTAATCCCCTGTGTAGCATTTCCATGAAGAGTTAGCACTTCAGATGGTGGTCAGCACTGGCATGGTGAGAGAATCGGTCTTCAAGTATGTCTGGTTCTTCTTTGAATTGCTGGTAAGGTTTTACAACACCTTTTTCACTTTTTAGTCAAAGGGGACTTAGGCGTAATTTCTGACTCTAATGTTTTGATGAACCTTGTCTGCAGAAAGCCTTAATTCCAGCAATGTTCTCTATGGTGCATCACAGGAAAATGTAAATTATAGCAGTGACAACAGCTTAGTCAGGAAAGGCGTTGTGGTGATGGATTGGCTTCCATGGAACCAGGAGCATTTCTCTGATGGCAAAGTGGGGACCTTAAGACCCTGCTTAGATTTCAGCACATCAATAAACCTGTAATGATCTGAATGCCAATAGAAGGCCACAAGAAGGGAAGCTGACTCAGCTGAGCTTGATTGTTTGTCAGAGAACAGGATTTGCCCTGAAAGAAATATGTCCAGTTTAAATAGGTATGTTTGAAACAACTTTCTGTTTGGGGTTCCCCGTGCCAAAATCACATGTAAACCAGATCACCATTGACTATGTGCACAACAGAATATCAAGATTCTCTAGTCCAGGTCTTTGCCATTCTGGTGTGCTAATGTTTTATACAGAGGTAGCACCATAAGCATAGCTCAGATTAAATGTGGCTGGCTGAAACCTTACTCTATTAAGTTGCTGTTTTGTTTTTAACACACCAAACACATCTTATTTAGATCAACCCAGAGCAATTGTGTATTATTATATTGTTTGCATGATTTATGGAACTTAAGCTCAACTTCAAAGCTGGAAATATGTATTTGTTGAACTTTGCACATTTGGTTTTAGCTGCAGGAATTTTTGTCTTGGGATTCACGGAATGCATAGAAAAAGTCAGAGGAAATGGATTCCTGGGATGCCCCCAAATATATCAATTATTTCCATTCTTATCTTGGGACTTGATTTATATTACTCCTGCTTAATACAAGTGCTTATTCTTTTGAAGGTCAAGAGTATGGCTCAGCATGTACATAATATGAACAAACAGGATGCGTCTCGTAGAACTCGGTTTTCCAATCGCTTCAAAGATGACATCACCACTATAGTCAATGTTATCACCTCAGAAATTGCAGCACTTTTAGGCAAACCACAGAAGGTAATTTCCCAGTTCAGAGTAAAATGCCACTAACCCATTGTACTATGGAATGGTTTTATTCAAAATTAACTTTCCCCAATACTGGGCAGTTCTTGAAAGTCTAGATTATTGCTCCATCACTATATATGAGTAGCAAGTTTAAGAACTTGTTTGAGAACTTGCCAGAGGAGCAGCCAGATACTTCTTGGGAAGCTCACAAGCAAGACATGACAGGCAGGCCCACAGGCAGCCTAAAAGTCTGTGGGGGGTGGAATATGGAGGGCAGTTTGTCTAATTTGTAGGCCTTTTAAAGACACAATTATAAACTGTTACATGTTTGCAAAAAAAAGTTAGGGGGAGACAGAGGAACGTAAGGGGGACAGTCCCCACCCTGGCTGCAGGCCCAGTGAGGGCAGTAGACCCCTTCCACTGGTGTTCCCCAGTGGCATACGAACTAGCAGCCATCCCTCACCTTGTTTATTTACATATTTGTTAAATTTACATATTGCAGCAGTTGCTGACCTTGGAGCAGTTTGCAGTGATTTAAAAGTAAACACCAAACAAAATAAAATAACAACTAACTTTATCCACACTGCATATAAGACAGTGATTCTAAACTGAGGTGAAAATTAAATGCTCATTTGGTGTATTCCTAGGGATGTTTTCAGGCTGGTTCAAACTATTTTTAGTGCACTTTGAATGTGACATCACCAGACTCTTCTGTTCTAATTACCTCATACCATGAACAGTCCAATGAGAATGTTTTAAAATATTCATTATTTATCTAGCTATACATACAAGACAGTGGTCGGTTGTTCCAAAAGCCCTGATGAAATGTTAAAATGCATTTAGGTTTAGATGCTTATGAGTCCGTTTTGTGTACTGCTTCGAGTGGTAGGCTTGGAAGATCCAAATTCTAGTCCCCATTCAGCCATGCTGCTGGGTGGCTTTGATCCAGTCATTGGCTCTCGACCTAATCTATCTCATAGGGTTGTTGTGAGGATAAAATGGAAAGGAATTCCTGTTGCATGGATCCCTTGCAACAGGAAAAGGCAGGATATAAATATAATACGTTTTGCAGGTGGTGTCTGTAGCTGTGCATTGATGGATTGATGCATAAGCATAACAATCCAACAATGGATTGATGTATAAGCATAACATGTATCTCCATGGTTTGAGGATCTGCATCTGCTGGTTACATTAGAGGAACCTTCCCCAAACTCATGCCCTCCAGATATGTTGGATGAAAACTCCTAGCACCAGCCAGCCAGCCACACTGGCTGGGGATGCTGGACACTGTGGTTCTGCAGGCTACCAAGTTGAGGTAGACTGTTCTAGATCAAGCTAGTGTTAAAAGGCACACAATTGGGCTGGGGCAGTTTTTAGAAAAAGTAATCCATTGGTAACCCTCATTGTGTCCACCAGCCGCAGTCCTTTCTTCCTTGGATCATATAGTTGTTGGATCTAAAGGGGCCTGGTCAGTCTTACCTGGCTGAGCTGTAGAGTTGCTTCATTTTGTCACTGGCATTGCTCAGTTCCTAACATGCCCAGCTGGAGCTTCTTGGTCAACAAAGTAGTAGAGCAAGCAAGAAAGGGCCATGAGAACCACAATTGGCAGGCAGGTTGGGTCATGTATTATCCTGGCATATGCATCTAATTTCATATGTAAAAGCAAAGCTCATTTTGTTTGTTTTATTTTAAAGGAAAGTGAACAAGCTGAAAATATCAATATTAGCCTGGCTTTTTTCCTGTATGATCTACTTTCACTAATGGATCGTGGATTTGTATTCAACCTTATAAAACACTACTGCAATCAGGTAGGCTTCACTTAAAATAAAAATAAATGAACAATTAATTTCCACCATGTTTAGTTTGTCACATAGTCCTACCAAAATGTGCATTGAATGCAGACTTAGTTTCAATTCACTTCTTTGTATGCTGAGTGTTTGCCTTCTTTTATAGTTGGTGGAAAAAAGCAGAGTCAAAGGAGACAAATGTGATCAGTAGAAACAGATTACCTACTCCTTCAATCCAGTAGCTTCTCAGAATGGGTGGGATTATTATACTATAGCATATTCATTAGGTAATTTCCTAAGGATGCATCCTGTGCCTGTTTAGACCAAAATAGTCCCAAAATTCCAACATTTCCCAGCTAGCATGGCTGACTGAGGAATACTGAGAGCTGTGGGGCTCTTTTCAGTCTAAATATGCATAGAATTGCACCCTATCCCATTCTAAGTTGCCTTGTCTACTAGCTATGTAAAGCAGAATAAAATAGCTCACTCAAAAGCATCACAGTGTTCCTACATATGGAAAACTAACTTGCCAGAGAAATGTTAGGCTTTCTAAACTTGAAGCCATATGGAGGGAGAAAATGAAGAGGTATGTCTGAAGAAGCACAGAGGTGCTTTATGAAGTGCTACAGGCCAAGGGGACTGTGCAATGACATGACTTTGCTGAATGTCTGGTAGGGTCATCGTTGGGAACTGAACCCATTTTTTGTTACTTCTAGACTAGACCGTTATTGTTTTTAAAAGAAAGACAACTTCTCCAAACATTTCTCCATAGAGTCCTTGGGCAGCTGTGCAGGTTTTGAAATTGAATTTGTGTCTTTAGGGTTTGTACCAAAAGCTGGTGTGGAAGACATTTTTGGTGGATGTCTTTGTGTCTTCTGGAATAGATGTCGACAAGAGTAATATTTGGCCTATGTAAAATTGAAAGTTGAACTGTATGGGTCATCTTGTTCTAATTATGTGCCAATTCCTTTATATACTGTTCTAATCTTCCCCGATCTGATACTTCCAAGGTGCTACAATTCCCATCAAATCCAGCTAGCCTGGCCAATAGCCATAATGATGAGGAAGATGGAAGCGGTAGTCCAGCACATGTGGAGGGGATGCTGGGGAAAGCAGCTCTACTATTTAGTGGCTCAGCTGAACAGCAAATCAAGCAGAGTTGTTTTCTTGAATCTAAAACCATGAAGGAAAATGGCTGCCTTTTTCGCTCTTAACTGTAGCTGTGGACTTCCCATTTATTTATTTATTTATTTATTTATTTATTTATTTATTTATTTATTTATTTATTTATTTATTTATTTATTTATTTATTTATTAAAACATTTCTATGCCGCCCCTTGCTGAAACCTCGGGGCAGCTTACAACACAATAAAATACAATAAAATACAAAAATAACAATACAAAATTAATATAAAATAAATAACAATATAAAAGAAGTCACCCTGGCCAGATAAGTCGCCCTGGCCAGATAAGTGCCTATTCTTGCCTACTCAGGCTTTTCTTTTAGCTTAAACCTTTGGCTTTGGCCCACATCACAGGTTTAAATACCTACTAAAGAGAAGCTAAAGCTTCCTCATCTGTCTCCAGTATGCAAAAATCAAACTAATGGCAAACAGCTCACATTCTTGGTATACTGATAAAATGCAATTGTATGAAGGGAAGATGCTACCAGTTATTGATGTGTGCATACGTGTGTGCATATCACACACAATATTGGCATTTATCTGTTTATTTTGCCACAGAGAGCACTTGCTGGAATTATTTTTAATTTGACAAGCTAGGAAAATACAGCACGAAATTACTTTTCTGACAAATTTGCTGAAGCATTATATTAGTGGAAAGTCAGCTAAGTGAACAAAACAAAAACAAAGACTATCAGAGAGCATCTAATGGATGGAAACTTACAAGAGGCAAGAATTCACAGTACATGATGCTTCTTAGTTCTTATTAAACAACGTGATTCTATTTCTAGAGGCAAGATATTTTCCTCTATATACAGTTATTCACACTTGTCATGCTTTCTGTTTTAATGTGTTTTTTTTAGCTGTCTAATAAGCTGAATGCACTTCCAACGCTGATTTCTATGAGACTGGATTTTCTGCGAATTCTCTGCAGTCATGAACATTACCTCAATTTGAACCTCTTCTTTCTAACTTCAGGATCTGCTCCAGCATCTCCCTCTCCTTCTCTGTCATCCCAGGTAGAGCCCTACCCCCATCTTCCTCCTCCTCCTTTTTTTAAAAATAATTTAATTGAATTGTGCATGGGGAAAGAGTGGATTCAATGATTAAGAGGTGGTTGGCTAGTCATGTTACCTCCCACTGGTTACTACTTGACCATAGGTCTGGAGCAGAGCACATAGTTGACACGCAAAAGGTCCCAGGTTCATAATGTGTCATCTCAGGTAGAGTTGGAAAATTTCTGCTTGAGACCTTGGAGGGCTGCTGCCAGTCAGTGCTGACAGTACTGGGCTAGATGAACCAAGGTTCTGACTTGATATAAAGCCATTTCCTATGACATCCTAAGAAGACTGTAGTCTTGCCCCCACCCCAATGTGGAACATGCAAGATACGAATGAACTAGGCACCATAAAAGCATCCATATTGCTAAAGAAAGCATTGTTTGTTATAAAAGGCCTGGATTGGAATACATCATACCAGACAAAATATACAGAAGGTTCTCTGAGCTGCAATTATATTTAGTTGACATGTGCATGTTCAAGAGAGGCACCAAGCTGAGAATAGAAGATGGAGGATGATATATGCATAGATAATGTGACCAGAACCCTTCTATTCTGACAGAGGTACGGGCCAGATGGGATTTCTTCTCTATCTGCTGATAGAGAAGCAATCTGTGGAATAGAACTCTTTCCCTTGGCTAGAATACCCAAAGCATTTTAAGTAGGATAATACACAAAGGGCTTTGTTTTAGCTACAGCTGCTCCAAGGCAATGCCCTCTTTTTGAGCTAGTGAGAGCAAGTGTGGTCTAGTGGTTAGAGTGCTGGTCTGGGAACTTGGCAGATCCAGGTTCTACAAGTAGTCCCCACTGGACCATGGGTGACTTTGTGCCAGTCACTCACTCCCACCCCAACCTACCTCACAGGTTGTTGAGATCTAAAAGTTGCATTGAGTTGCCCACTAGTAGGAATAAGGCAGGATATAAATGAAATGCAATAGTAATATTTTCAAGGGCTTGCTTTTAGGGGGACAGCCTTTGGTTCAGAGTGGAGACTGCTTACCTCTAGATAATAGGAGCCAGAAAATGCAGGGTGCCACTAAATTAGGCGTGCACACACCTGTCCTGTGAGGCTGACCTAAAGCAAGCATATGGAGAAGAATGTGCTAATTTGTGGTATTCAAAGGCTGTTTTATACTGGATCCATCTAGAGCAGTGTTGTTAACACTGATCGGCAGCAAAGACTCTTCAGAGTTTCAGACAAGCATCTCTCTCAGACCTACCTGGAGCTGTCCAGGACTGAACCTAGGACTTTCTACATGCTAAGTGTCTGCTCCATCAGCCACAGCCCCTCTTGGGCTGCCAGTGAAATACTTAGACCACCACTGCTCCCAGTTTTGTCCTATATCACCACTCACCTAAAGCCAAGTAGTCTAGGGTTATATAGCCATGTGACTGAAGCTCCCAGTGGAGAACTAGATTTAATGGCAGATGGGATCTGCAGGTTGCTAGGGGCCAATGATTAGAAACGTAGAAACAGAGCGAGTCAGAAGGAGTTAGTCTGATCCCTGGCTCCAGCCCACTCCACTCATTACATGTCTACCATGTGCACGTCATGAGGAGGAGGGCAATTGTCTGTTCCCTGCACATGATTATTCTGGAAGCTGACTGGCCATTGTTAGAAGCAGGATGGTATGCAAGTTGAATGCTGGGTCTAGTCTAGCATCTGGACTCCTCCTCAGCTCTCAGTAAGAATCTGGTGTCTTTCCTACACCTGTGCAACTTAGGACCTTTTGCCATACCTATGGGGATTACTGGCGAAATGGCTCATCAGAATTAAAAGCAATGAATGTTTAATATCTGTTATTCTACCCTAACAGCACTGTCATGTAGGACAACCAACATAAGAGCGGCTTTAAAAAGCCCATTTAAGCTGCCTGACGTGAAAATGCCCTGTGATTATCACATTAGATTTGTATGGAAGAGAAGAAGACTGTCTAAGATGTTCTACTGCCCAAAGTCTAAAATCAATATGGAACTTTGTTGTTGTTGTTGACAGTTCACTGCCACTTAATGGAATCCTCCAAAATCTACATCACACTCTGCCTAGTGGTAAAACCAACCCTGAAAATGGCTAGTCATTAACAAGAGTTGTAAAAGTGGGATCTGTCGATGATAAACCATTGAACCTTAAATATATACAGACATTTGCAGAGGCTTTTCTTGATACTTACCTCTTGTTCACTACCTATAAAACAGCATGGGGCTTTTCTGAAATTGCTTGCTTAGTGCCAATTCTTGGCAGCAGGAAGTGAAAATGAGATTCCAACTTTAACAGAAAAACAACTTAGCATTTATTTTAGAGCACAGCCCAGCAGGATTGGAGCTGAGAAGGTAACAATTCAGGACAACTGTTCCTGCTAAGCAAGAACATCATCTCTTTTTACATTTAAGAATGACCCGAAAAGTAGAGGTCGGCTGTGCCTTTTGCTTCTCTTGCATGATGTAATACTGCAGCTGGCTACTGGTTGGAGCCCTTCTGCCAGCTTGTACATGGCTGCACTGTGGTTGAAGCTACCTCCTGCTTTGTGCAGTGTTGGCTGTTGTGGATTGCAGTAATCCATTGCTCACTGGCACAGCACCTGATTTGGATCTCTCCAGGACTCAACTCATAGATTTTGAATACTGTCAAATATGAAACTTTCCTAATGAGAAGAGTACTTTTGAACACATGCCAGGCACTTTTCCTTATTGCTGAATAAACACAACTGCCTCCAGCATCAGAAATTAATGTAGGCTTCTGCAGTCTTTGCTTCCTTTTTTTTTAAACAACCATACACATCTATGGCTTGCTTTCCCCTCAGATTAATTCACTTTTATTCCAAATATTTTCTTTAGAGTTTGCCACTCCACCACAATGGTTTAGGCTTAAGTCAGTTTAACCATTATTGAATCATATGGGGCCCAAATAATTGCTAACATTCAAATTCAGTGTATCAGATTCACATGTAGACAGCACAACATATACCAATTATAGGCAGCTTCAGAGATAGCAAGTAGAATTTCACCAATCAATTCATATTGGTGTAGGGCAGGAGAGATGTACCTGAGGGCTAAATTCATTTCCAGGTATAGACAGGCCATGCCAAACACTAGGCTTTAGGTCTCCTGAGAAGCGGATCTAGTCGATAAGGAGATGACCCATTGGGGGACACCTACCCTGAGAGAATAGAATTGTGACAAAGGACCACAGCCTCCTGCATAAACCTCATGGTGTAAGAGCCTTCCTTTTGTTCCCATATCCACACTTATGATGCAAACATAAACACGGTGAAGGCATCTAGAGATGTAATGACAAGGTTGCATATCACAACAAGCAACTGCTTGCTCGCTCGCTCGCTCGCTCGCTCGCTCGCTCGCTCGCTCTCGCTCTCGCTCTCGCTCTCGCTCTCGCTCTCGCTCTCGCTCTCGCTCTCGCTCTCGCTCTCGCTCTCTCTCTCTCTCTCGCTCTCTCTCTCTCTCTCTCTCTCTCTCTCTCTCTCTCTCTCTCTCTCTCTTAGCCAAAGCTTGACAGGCAAGCCTGCTCAATGAGTACCATATCAAGGTAAAATAAAATGAAATGAGGCTGGTGGTAGTGATAACAATATAGATTAAACTGCCTTTGTAGAACTGCTTCCATATCAAGGGAATTGTGTGTCAATATTGTTTTCGGAAAAGATTCAAGCATGGTATAAAGTGTAAAATTTTCAGCAATCATAATGCCTCATAAAAGCACTACATTTGTTTTTTATTTTACCATGAACACGATTTTCCTCCTCTCCTTGTTTATACTTTTCCTGCAGAATTCAAGTTCTTGCTCAAGTTTCCAGGATCAAAAACTTGCTAGCATGTTTGACCTGACAGCAGATTATCGGCAGCAGCACTTCCTAACTGGGCTCCTCTTCACTGAACTGGCAGCTGCTCTGGACACAGAGACAGAAGGGTAGGTTTCTGGTTGGTTGGTTGGTTTTATTCTGACATTGTGTGAGCATTAGCGTTGAATGCTGGAAGCTCCCAGGGGTAGGTAGCACAGCCACTTCTACATCACCTAAAAAAGAGGAGAAAAGAGAGTGTTGTTTATGTCTCTTAGTTTATATGTAAAACAGCAAATTTAGAAACAGTCATTCTAATTTGAATAGGAATACCTTATGTTTTTCCTTAGTGGGAAAACTGTGACTAAGTGATTGCTGTACCTGCTCAGTCAGCTGTCCAGAAGCCAAGTGCTGATGGGGAACTTCATAGCCCTGCTGGCTTCCCTTCCTGAAAGTGCCTTATCTTTAACTTGGGCTGTCCTTCAGATAGGGAACTGTCTTCTGTGAAGTAGGACACCTGGCCATCCTTATGTTAGCATCCTGAAATATTCCCAGTGCTTGATTCTTCCTCCTCCCCTTCTCTGGATCAATGCTGCTGGGCATCACAGCTGAGTTCAGACTAAGGGGTACTCTCTCACACAGGCTCCCTTAGCAGTCTAAGCCAGAACTGAATACACAGCAATTCTGCAGACCTGGCCAGAGACTTTCTGCAACTTACCAGACAGAGCAACTAAGGTTAGGAATGTAGGAAATTGCCTTATCCTGCCTTATAAGCTGCCCTGTACTTCCAGACATTGGTCCATTGCCATTGTTGATGCAGACTGGCAGCAAATCTTTAAGGAAGGACATTCACAAGCCCTTCCTGGAGATGCTGGGACTAAATTTTTGCATGCAAGGCACCTGCTGTACTGCTGAGTTCTGGCCCCTTCCCTAAAACTATCTTGCACCATCTATCTTTTTCTTGTACCTAGTCCATGCTTTCAGGACTAGACTCCAGTGCTGTAACCTGACGCTCCTGATTGAAGCCCTAGAACCCTCCAGCAGAGGGTTCCAATTTATCCACATACTGAGTCATGACCAGCATTCCCCAAGTAATGCTGAGGAAGTGCTAGGTCCTTGAAACTATGAGTTACAGCAAAAAGGTTATTAAAGTGTGCTTGTGCTGTATTTTCCTGGGCTATAAAAGTTCCAGTATGCACAATTTGGCTGGTAACGTAGTTTTCATTTTACTTTAATTCACATGTTTTATTTCAAGAGGAAAATAAAGTACAATCATACATGGACTGTGTTTGAACTCATTTCTTGACAGAACTTGGTTTGCTAAAAATATTGCCTCAGTGCACTTTCAAAGGCTTTCTTGCTTCTCAGAGAATGTCTCACACTGATTTGATCACCCGTAATTTTCCCTTGAAGTACATTTGAGCCATTGCAGGCAACCTCTGACTTACAATCTCTCCTTTGTTTGTACTGACAGAATAAGCAAAGTGCAGAGGAAAGCTGTCTGTGCTATCTGCAGCCTCTTGTGTTCACATGACTTGGACAAATTGTGCTTCAAACCAGAAGTGAAAGTGAAAGTTGCTGCCCTTTACCTGCCTCTTGTTGGGATAATTTTGGATGCGTTTCCTCAATTACATGATTTTACAGGCAAGATTTATTGTTGTCATACTGGTTGTTGTTTTCATCTGAAAGCGCCCAAATTTTTCTTGGCACAGTGCAAGATTAAAAAACAAGACAGTCTTTTCCTGCACAATTATATGGGCTAGATTGGTAGTTATGGCTAAACTCAAGGGTTACATTACAGCCTTCTCCATGGAAAGGAGGCAGATTTTTCAGTAGAGAGGTGCACCTGAAATCTTTAATTCCAGTTTGGAGGAAGTCGGGGGATACTGTGACAGCAGTGAGAATAGAAGAACATCTTCCTTTTTACCATCAAAAATGTAGTTAGCAGCCCCACTGAAGGTATTGCAGCAGCCAGAACAAAGAGCTCTATCTACTGAATACCATAAAAGTCTTGCTTTAGAGTCTCTAGATCATCCTTCTCCCAAATCTCACATTTGTGTGACTGCATGGAGGCCATGAAAAACTGACTGCTTAATTGTAACTAATGTTCTCAAGTAGTAATTTGTTAATTCTCTACATTCCTGCTGTAAGTTGGTATTGTATGTTGCTACTGTATAAAATGAGTTAGAAGAAGAAAGAGAAGAAATAGAGTCCACACTTTTGGACATTTGTACTAGATCTGGAAGCACTAACGCAGCCACCAAGTATGCCTGTGATCTGGTTCCAAAATGTTCTGAAGGTGTCCAGTACAGATGACAACCCAAAGACCTTCAGTTATACCTGAGCTGGTGAACCTCAGGACTGTGAGCCAACCTGGCCCTCCCAGGGACCTCTTGGCCACACATCTTTTACTCAACTGCCAGTTATTTTGTGGTTTTCCAGCTTCTGTGTTTTTTACATTCTAAAAAAATTGAAGTGCCTCTCCTAAGGCTTAGCTGCTAGCAGTAAAATTTTTAGGCTAAGATATGACATTATTTTTGACCCAACTCATTTTGCTTTTGACACTAAGAGCCTCTTGAGCATTGAATTTGACTCTCATGGTGAAAGAGGTTATCCTGTTCTAAGTTACAGATAAGCAACCTGTTATTTCCAATGCAGTTTCTGATGGTCGCAACGGGAAAGGCCGTGCTGGCTCTCCAGATGAAGAACAAGAGGCTGCAAACCAGATTAACCAGAATATTGCTCTAGCCATCGCTGGGAATCAATTTAATGCCTTACAGACCTCGGCTTCATCCTTGTCCACAATGGTAGGTATTTGTAATTATTTCTCTCTGTTATGTTGCTCTGTCTTGCTCAGTGATCAGATCTGCATGACTGCTTCAGCACTTAGTGACTTATGTATGACATGGCAGGATGCAGTACCTGTGGGCACCATTCTAATAATTCAAGCAATAACTGTGGCTTGTCATTTTGTTTGAAACCAGTAGGAGAGGGTTAAACAGTCCCCACATAACTCTAAAACAGCCCATGGGGTGTTTGATTGTGTAAATATGCTTACTCTAAGACAGCTTCTTCATCTTCCTCCTTATTCATATTTCATTACATTTATACTTACTTTCTTCCTCCTGCAAGTTGACTTTCAAAGTTCTCCTCCTCTCCGTTTTATTCTCATAACAACAACCCTGGCAGAGAGTCCATGAACTTCACAGTTCAGTGGGGACTAGAACTCAGAATTCCCAAGTTGCAATTCTGTTCTAATTTCTATCCCACCCTGGCTCTCTGTAAGTAGGGAGTTGGAGCCCTCTTGCTAGCATATGTATTCCTAAACAAGTGTCTTTGCTTTTTCACTGGCCTGAAAGGCTCTGGCCTACCACCTGAAAGGGAGATATTGCCAGCTCAAAAATCAAAATGACTTTAGCAGATTTGGCAGATGGAAATGATGTTTCAGAAATGAACCCTTCCAGCCAGCAGCTGCAATATTTCCATGGGTGTTCAATGATGTCATATCTAATGGGATTATTAAATATGCTTGCCCTTATTTTTGCTTCTATGTGAGTTTCTTATTATAACTCTTCCTAGACCTACAAGCAATACAGCATTTTAAGCCCTGAGACAACACGTCATCTTTTGATCTGTTTCCTTTGGATAATGAAAAATGCTGATCAGAATCTTATTAGGAAATGGATTGCAGATCTGCCGTCTATGCAGCTGAACAGAATTTTAGACCTCCTTTTCATCTGTGTTTCGTGCTTTGAGTACAAGGTAAAATACAATGCTATCCAATTTAGGCCAGTTCCAAATGTGATGGGCTGCAACTCTTATCATTCCCAGCCAATAGGATCATGTGATTGTGAATCCAATTCCTTGCACAGAAGTGCATTCCTTAGATATACACAGACCAGTTCCTCTGTTTATTTTTACAAAATGTTTGCTGAACTTTGCATGATGATCAATATAATACTTGGCTTTTAGATTTGTTAATAAGTGTAAACAAGCATGCTTATATTTCAGTATGGATTTGTACTATTTACCATTTTTTTCTCATATCTATACAGGGCAAACAAAGCTCAGACAAAGTCAGCACTCAAGTGCTTCAGAAGTCAAGAGATGTAAAAGCCAGACTTGAAGAGGCTTTACTAAGAGGAGAGGGTGCCAGGGGTGAAATGATGAGGCGTTGTAAGATGCCTGCAGGTATGCTGTGAGCGGAGCCGGCTGGAGCTGGGGGTTAGACTAGAGATCCCTTCTGACTTGCTCTATTTCTATGTTTCTATGTTCTTTTTCCTTTTAGCTCATGATTTATCAGTGAAACATTGTAGACTGTGATTAAAAATCACAGCTTCCAAAAGCAAGTGCTGGTGCAATACAATGGCCTGCTAGGCAAAGCCTAGGCAACCTTGGAAATGGGCTCTGAGGTTGTAACTGGCACTCCAATCTCAGGCAAGAGCGCCTTCCCTCTGCCCTTGTGGCCAGAACAGTTCTTTTTGTGCCAGTTGAGGCTCCGAGACCAAAAGACAAACCTTGGAGCCAGAGGTTTGTGGGATTCTGGGGTTGGATAGGAGGGGAAGAGTGAGCACCACAGTGCCATAGAACCTGGAGGCACTTCAGCTACTCCTCCTTAGGTGCTGGGCAAAATACTTATACTGCTAACTCTGGCTGCTTTAATTCTTGCTCCTCCCACCCTCCATTGGGTGCCCATAATCATATGAGTTTGGAAGGTTAGAGACAGCCACTTTGGATGCTGTTGGAAAACAGCCTTGAGAAACAAAATGTCTTGAATATTTGACACAGGAGTTAAACTCTTCTTGTAGTTAGCCAAAGAGCTTCGGAGTCATGCCAGATATTATTGTAAATGACTGCCAGGATTAGGACCAGAACAGCTATGAACATGATATTTAACATGTTATAGCAGCTAAGAATTATGTAGTTTTGGCTGTAATTCTTGCTGAAATTACCTGTAGTGGCATGGGAGTGGCATTCTGCTTGGTAACATCAGGGGTCTGAGGTCAGGCAGGATGACCCTACAATGTATTTCCTTTCCTCCCAGAGCCTGGAGCTTACCTCTTGTGAGAAAGAGCCACATTATGAGCTCTTATCATGTAACCAAACAATTGTATAATTTGAGTGGTACAGGAAGGAATCAGTGTGCCCCAAGTCCCATACTACCAAACATAACTTTAGAAATAGGGCCACTATCTTGGAGGGTGAGAAGGACAGGGATTAATACAAAATTCTAAAAAGAGAGTAGAGAATGGCTATCAAGCATCAACCCTGCTAGAAAACTACTTCATTTTTTCCTCATCCTTCCCCACCCCTTTTTCTTGTGTGTTGTATCTTTTTTATATTAAGCCAGTGGGTAGGGACCATTTTATTTTACTGCTTTTATGTTCCCAGTTTCAGGAACATTTCAGGCTGAGGAGCAAGATTAAACATACTTCAAATAAATTTAAGAATGAATGGTGCGACTGAGGTAGTTTAGAACAATGCTGGCCTCAGGAATTTTTGCAGTGAAAAATCAAAACAGCACACTTTCCCCGCTCTTTTTATTTAAGGATATTCAGTGAAGGAGGGCAGAAGTAAGGAAATACTGCCTTTCCTGCTATCCACAATTCTTATTGGTGTGTGGGCAGGGGCTGAAAAAGGCTTTGCAAACTAACAGAGCACCAAGACTTTTGAGGAGGAATTAGATGGAAAAGATGGAATAGGTTTGTTGAGGTAGAGGCTAAGGAAAGAGGCCAGGGGAGGACAGCAGCAAAAGAGCTTTCACAGAGCTGCAGGGATTTGACCCTTGTTCAGTTCCTTTGTGCTGGATGTGATTTGTATGAATGCATTTACAGCAATGGCATAGAGAAAGCCCTGGCCTCCGAGTGGCAAGTGTCCTCCAAACCTCATTCTGCTGCATGCATTGGGCCTGTCTTTTGCTTGACGATTGTCCTGGCTACCTGGTTTCATCTCCATCCATGCATGCCTTGTTCCTCCTAGGGATATGTTGTTCCCCTCTGTCCTGTTTCAGTGATTCCATATCAAATGTGCTGTTCTGCTCTGTGCATAAAGCGTTACTTTTTCCCTCACTGCCATCACAGTATCACTTGAGAAATGTTGATAGGAAAGTTTCAATGTGACTTCTGTATGTTGCCCTTGTAGGAAATGATAGGTTCTCAGGGTTGAATGAGAACCTACGATGGAGGAAAGAGCAGACACAGTGGCGGCAAGCAAACGAGAGGCTAGATAAGTAAGTAATTGAATGAATTTTTATCACCTTTACTGGAACTGCTTCTCTTAGGGGCCCTCTAGTTTCCCTCCCTGTATCAAGGCAGAAATCTCTGTCATTAAAGCATCCTGGGCAGATATACACATCTAATTTATAGAAACTGCTATAATCTGGTTCCTAAACCCTTTTATTCATTATCCTTCTCACATTAGTGGCAGAGTTTTCATTCTTTTAGGAAGGTGAGCTTCAAATCCCTGCAAATTCTTTTTCAATGAAGTATGCAATGAAAATATAAAGCATTTTTTCACTCACTAAAATATTATCTGTGCCCTTGTTTTCTTATCTGGAGTTCCATGAGCGCCAAGAAAAACGGAATGGAACCAAGTGGCAAGGTCTCTCCACATGGTCAGGACTAGCTTGGAAGGAACTGGAGGAAGGAAGGAACTGAACTTCTACAAAACTGTGGGGTTAGAGTTCAGGGCCTCAGAACCAAGGGGCTCTGTGGTTGATCACCCAGAGAACAGCAGGTGATGGGGACTACAGCAAACAGGTCCACATCAGCACCCAGCCAGACATAGGCTTGGCAGGGCCTACCCCACAGGGACGATTTTGTTAAAGCATCCTTACTCCTCCTTTTCCTTCTCCTGCGCCTTCAAAAAGAAGCATGCTATAGTTGGGAACAGTTGAGCCAGGCATGTACATGGTTACAGATACTGACCTTATTATTTCTTCGAATATATTTTTTCCTTGCCTGCAACAAAAAGATGTTTCTTCCCAATTAAATACAGCATGCATCAGGCAGCAGAAGCAAAGTCCATTTTTGTCCTCTAGGAACAAGAATTTTAGTGAGTTGAAAATGAGAAACTGGGATTCTCGGAGAATTTCTTTTTGCTTGTTTGTGCCTCTGGTGTAGCAAGAATGTAAAAGGAATTGTAAAACAAGGAATTGTGTTGGGAGGGGAGAGAGGTGAAATCTTAGTTGTATGTATCACGAGTGAACTACTATGCAAGGCTGTCTGAACTCCCCAGATCCACCACCAATGAGTCTATTAAGTCCAGGTTCTAAAATGATCACGTTGACCATAGAATAAAAGTAGAGGGGCATCAGAGAGACGGTTGGAGCTAGTGCATTGCAGTTGCCACGTGGCGGTGGCCTTGAATTGTTCTTCCTTGGATTCAGTGGCTCATCATGCAGAAAAGGCAATGCAGGCCACTCCACTCATTCTCAGGACTAGTTCTCTCAGGAATTCGTTTAGTTTATGATTGGTCAGAATGGCATTGAGTTGTGGCTGCATGATGCTATCAACTCAAGCATCAGCTCACAGTTAATGTAACCTGGGTGTTTCCATGCATACATAAACATTACAGCAGAGAATTTCACAGAGTAAGGCAAACATATATGCTCATAAATGTATGTTGCAACAAAAGCTGCACTAATATATGAGCTCCCCTGTGTGTGTCCACGAAGAGACTTCTTAGTAAGTTTGTCTCCGATCATACCTCAAGGCCTGATTGATTGATTGATTGATCTTTTGCTGATAAGAAATACATCTTGTATTAATTGCCCAGAGCTGGATTAGTTGTTAACATTGCATTTGTAGAAGTGGATTATCGTATTTTTAAAAAGATGCTAACCCTTGAGCTTATTGGATTGGTGATATTGAAATTATTCTTTTCAGAAGTAAAAAATCCTGATAGAAATCTGAGTGTGCTTCTCACTGGTTTTGTAATTTCTATACTGCACACATCATTTAGTGGGAAGCTGTTACAGAAGCAGTTTGTCTGCACTTAGCAAGACTCTCCCAGTCTTCTTCATGCCCTATCTCATAAAACTGAGATTGAAAGCACATGAAGGATATAATGATGTTTCCTTCAAACACATGGGTTTTTGTGGATGAAAATATTCTAGCAATTGCTTAAACAACGACTTGAAAGGATAAGTTGTGGTGAATCAAGTTGTGAATCAGTGTGTGCATGTGAGTGTGAATGAAGTGTGTTAGTGTGAAATATGTATTACTAGCTGAGATGGATTTGCAAGCAAATATGCAGAACAACAGGATACAGCTTGTGGTTTTGCATGTATTCATTTGAGGAACACTAAGGTGAGGTTAAAGCCCTCTCATATAGTGATTCTTGCTGAGATTAAGTGAGGGGACACATTTGGAACTGGTCATGTGAATAGATCCAGTGCCTGACCCAGCACCTTCAGTGAAACTGTTGCGATGATGACGATACTTTCTGTGAGTTAATGCAAGGAATATAGATGGCCACACATCAGTAGAAAATGACCTTCAGTGAAATTCTTAGTGTATCCAGTCACTCTAATATTTTCTTCTAATGTGTTCAGTCAGTAGCTCATGAACAAATTTAGCTGATACCCCAAACTTACTTATCCCATGCAACTGATACAGCTAGAATTTCCTCTTATTGTCTGTCTGTCCATTTCATTTAAAAATATTGTAATGGAAGCAAGGAGAGAAAAAACTGAAGTAGGAATGAAACTCTCCCTTCATTCAGCTATTGTGCAAAACCATGGCTTATGCTAAATGCAGAGCCCAAACCATGGTCATGTGCCGTATATAGGCCATGTGTAGACCTAACATGTGCTAACATGGTTAAGGTCGCCATCATATACACAGTTACCTGGAATAGTTTCAATTGAAATTGGTACTGAGCAATGCTCTGTGCACTGTTTTCCTGGCACAATTTAAAGTGCTAGCAATAACTTATAAAGCCTAAATAGTCTGGGGCCAGAAGTCTTCTCACATATGAATCTGCCTATCTTTTAGGAGTACCATCAGAGGCCTTGTCCCTTTCTCTTCAGAGCCATGGATGGTTTGGACATGGGGCAGGACTCCTCTGTGGAATCCCTTTTCTCCAGTGGTTCCCTCTATCTATCTATCTATCTATCTATCTATCTATCTATCTATCTAAAACATTTCTATGCCACCCCCATCGCAACAAAGCCTCGGGGCGGCTCACAACATACATAAAATACAATCAATAATATAAAAGCTTATTTTTCTAGTCTTTATGTGGATGTAGTCAGAATGTTCTTATTTCATTATGCTTTTGGACTGGTTTAACATTTGCATACTTCTGTTATGACTGATACATGACTGCTCAGTGCACTTTCAGTTCTTTTATATCCCATTGTTATATTACTGTGATTTTTATGATACATGCTTTTGAGCTGTATTGTAAGTCATCCTGAGAGACTCTTATAGCCAAAAGGTGGGATGTAAAGCTAAACAAGCAAACATATAGAGGATCGCACTGTTAGGAATTCTGATATTTATCATATTTTATTATTTCATGATATTTATCATGTTTCTCCCCATTCCCTCTCTACTCCATTTGCACAGTATTTCCATGCCTATGGAAGAAGTAGCTCTGTAGATGGAGCATCAGGTTTAGGCATCATGCCAAATGATCGCTTTCATGGATTCTGCTTTGTAGAACGTGGCTTGTCAGTTCCAACATTGCATAAAATCATCATTAAATGAGCTATCTACAGATCAGTATAATTTCTGAACTGAGTCAAAGAAAAAAGAAGATGGAGAATGTGTGGCTGCTTGTAACCCTCTGAAGTGAAAGGATTGCAGCATCCTGTTGAGGGCTGAAGAAGCACAGAAATGTGGGTTCCTTCCATACTTCCCTCATGCTGCAAAAGGCACAGGTGGCTGATACTGGCCTTCTGTGTCTTTTGGCCCTCCTCAGGAGGAAGAGAGGCTGAGCCCGCCTCTTCTCTGCCACCTGACCACTGCATGTCACCTCTGAAGTCACCATCTCAGAACAACAGCCAGCATGGAAAGAACCATACCACTCCCAGAGTGGAGGGGAGGTACTACATAATCAGTGTCCCAGTTCTGATCTCAGAATTTATTTCCAAGGTTGGAGCTGGGGCTTTGACTTATCCCTATGGCTGTCTAGACAATAAATAAAAAATAATGTTATTCCTGATAATAAACAGAAAGTTGGTCCCATGTTGCAGTTTTAGGACAAATGCTAGGTCCCATTTCTGAAAACTACTGTTCTAGTGTAAGAAATAGTTCATTCAGCAATTCTTGAGTCTTTGGTAACATGATTTGTAACTCTTACAGAACAAAGGCTGAGATTGATCAAGAAGCTCTAATTAGTGGCAATCTGGCTACAGAAGCTAATCTGATCATTCTAGATATGCTAGAGAACATCATTCAGGTGAGAAACTGCAAAACTGGTTATGCATGAAGAGTGAGGAAACACTGGGACACTCTGTTCCTGTGGTTTTGTTGCATTGTGCAATATTTACATTGTTAGGGTTCTACAGACTTTTTAGGAATGAGTGTCAATTATTTTCCAAATGTTGAAGTGAAAGGGTAAAGTGTATGTTTGTGGTGCAGTTATCAGCACCCAAGTCTCTTAAAGAATAAAATTCTGTGAGGTATTTTTTGTGAATCCCAAAGTATTGTATTAGTACAAATCTAATTTAGTTTGCTTGAATGTCTGGCTGTCACGGGTCCTCATCCTTGAAATCCTGATGGTCCCTGCTTTAACTAAATGTTACTGCTTTCAATATGGCTTTGTGAAGTGCTAAGTGCAGTAGAAATGAATAAACTGAAATGACTTATTGCTCAGCTCTTGTGATTTTGTGGTGAGCACTGAGATATATAACAGAATTCTCACTAGCATCACAAAACTGCAGTTCCCACTAGTTGTAGCAAGCTGTGTCAAGCTTGAAAATGGTTATAGCTTATCATGTTCATGAACTTCCAACTATTGTTCTCAGTAGTGAAAGTGAGTGTGAGAATATTTGCACATGTGGGATACTACCCCATTTTTATCTAACAATAAGCTAGGATTCCTTTTTGTTGTTTGTTAATTTCTGTGCTGTCCAATAACCAAAGCTGTGTTGCCCACTTGTGCCTGCTTCCTGAGCCCTTTCACTGCAAGCTGTTCTGTGTTACTTGCAAGCAGAGAACTCTGGCCTGTGTCTTACTTGACGAAGCAGAAGTCATGGTTTCTTGTCATTCTATAACTCTGGCTTGTAAGGGGAGAGGCAAGCCAGCGTTCCACATTCATATGTAGGCAAAACTGATAGAAGAACCATGTTTAGCTGCTCCTACTTGCTTTGGATAATGCTTATGCGCATGCTGCTTCTAACTGATAAGCCAGCAATTTCCCAGTGCTTAGGATTGCACTGGTAATTGAATAAGTTTAGTCAATTTTAAAGATGTATATGCTGGTTTTGTAATTTTTGTATTAGTTTTGTGCAGTATACCACTCTGAAATCTGATATGGCATATAGCAGTAAAAATATTTTAAATATTTAAATTGGTGTAAACATAGCAGAGGGTTGTCAGTTATGTTATCCCCCACAATGTTTTCAGCTACATTCTCTGTATCAGTTGCAAGAACAGCAAATGTACTAACTGGAAACACCCTTACTCTACCCAGTGGTAGGGCTGGCCCTGCCTCTTATTCTGATAAGTACCAAAATGATTTCCCTATTTGATAAGTAAGGTTCTGCTATTGTATCAAGGCTGGCACTAATTTCTGTTGTTTGAAGTCACCCTGAAAGATCTTAAGAGCCCTCTTCTTCTCTGACTTAGCCAACCACAGCTATGGACTGCAGAGAGCACATTTTGGGAAGTGTGTTGAAGGTCCTGGTAAATTCTTTGACCTGTGATCAGAGCACAAGCTACCTGACTCATTGCTTTGCTACTATCCGGGCACTCATAGTCAAGGTAAACATTTGATCTACTTGTGTTTGTAAGTTCTTTGTTAGGATCTATTGGAGCACCAGCCCATTCCCCTACTCACAGAACTTAGCACTGCCATCTATGTGTAGTGGTCCTCAAAACAGTATTTTGTAGGAAATGGTTCATGTGATAGTTGATGGAAATGCCAGTTTCCAGAGGTTCACAACATTGCTGAAAAGCCTTCCATTTCCTCTTTATTCCTCCAGGCAATAAGACCATTTGCAGATATGTATTTTACAAGTGAAATAAGTCATGCAAAGGAAGGGTAATAAAAATATGGTTATTTGCATAGTTCATCTGAAGAATTTGGGGTGGTATAGATTGGACGCAGTTGGGACACTCTTTATCAATAGATTCTTGTTGCAGAGGGGTGGAGGAAGAGAGATCTGCCTGTTAGGCCTCGTTGCTTTTTCTAGTGCAGATTTCTGGATGTAATCTTGGTGTAAACATGTTGACAATGGGTTGGTACAATTCTGACTAGTTTCTGGAAGAAAGAGTGAGTTAAAATAAATAGGGGAGGATTTAGAAGGCAAGCAAAAAACTTCTGGTGCACTCATTTCAGAATTCTCTAGGCTACAGAAGGTGGAGTAGAGTCAACTTTCAATACCTCCCTGTGTCACTTGAGATGCTTCCAAATGGGGCTTTTATCATGCTAGTTCCTTGTCTCACACAGGAAACTTTACAGAGTGTTTAGTTGTTGGTTTACTTCACTCATAATCCCCCTATCGCTTCTTCCATCCTTTCCTTTACCTTGGAAAATCAGTTAAGGAGGGAAAAATGGATTAACTTCAAGAGACCATCTGTGTGGTTGCACTAGGCTGGAAGCACCCTGGACAGTCTAGTATTCTTATGTTAGATATAACAGGTGCTTCCAGGTACATTTTTATTGTATAATCACCCTGCCTCCTTCATAGAATTTTATGTGGGGTCAAGACTCCAAAGTTATGACTTCCCACAACACAGTTTTCCTTACTACAAAATACTGGTTAAGGAAGGTGAGATGGAAAAGCTTCCAGAAGCATCCAGTGTCACAGTTTTTTCTTTCTGTTCCTTTAGTTTGGGGATTTCCTGTTTGAAGAAGAAGTGGAGCAGTGTGCTGATCTCTGCCAGAGAGTCCTGCAACACTGCAGCAGCAGCATGGAGGCCACTCGGATTCAAGCCTGTGCCACCCTGTACCTTCTCATGAGATACAGCTTCAGCTCCGCCAGTGTAAGACAGTAGAGATTACATTGAATGCTATTCACAGCCTGGATTGCAAAGTCTGTGTCTGCACTTACCTTGCTTTGCTGGAGAATAATTATACAACTGTGGCTCTTCATGGTCTTCTGTGTGCCTGATGCAATTAGTTTGTGTTTACAATCATTTTTCCTTCTAGCTAGAAATGGTCTTCTCTTTTGTCTTACGGAGTTCCATATATAATAAGGATACATTGGTCAGCATTTTTCTTGCTCTGGATGTACAGAAATTTTAAATCTGAATCCCAGAAGATCCCAGTACATAGACCAATACATTGCAGAAGTTATTTAATTTTAAATTTATAATTGGCATAAGAAGCAGAGGGGGCAGTAATAACCTAATTTGAGGTTTGAGAGATAAATGTTGTAATCTCATTTTAATTTTTTATGACCACTAATATATCTTGCTGTTCCTTTGGGAAGGTCTGAATCAGTTTGAGAGTGATTCAGTGGCTTCTAGAGGAGGAGCACCGTAGGATCATTTGGTGTGTGAGGTTGGGGACACCGTCCAGCCTTGAAGTTTGGGATTGGATCTCTGATCCTCTTCCCCTGCTCCTTCACAGCTTGCTAAGATAAAACCACACTGGCTGCTCTCTGCAATCAGAAGAGCAACCTTGGAGAGGGTTAAAGTAGGCAGAGAGGGGAGGAGACAGGAGCAGCAAGGATATGCCCATGGAACCAATTGCCAAGTGAGGTTGTGGGCTCTCCCACACTAGAGGCATTCAAGGTGAAGCTGTGGACAGTCACCTGAGTAGGATGGTATGAGCTGGCATCCTGTCCAGCAAGGGGTTGGACCTGATGGCCTTCTTGGCACCTTCTGACACTACTGTTCTATGGAGCTATGAATCCTGCTGGTGTCTCAACCTCCTCCCCTCCCTCTCCAAAGTGTCCTTCATTGCTGGATGGCTGAAAAAGGATGTCTAACAAACATGCAAAGTGGGAGGAGTAGGGAGGTGAGGATTACCTGTGTTGCTCCTCCTGTGCTGTATAAGATACCCATAATCTGAGCTTGGAGGCACCTTGAATGGACTGGGCCCCAAATGAGCCTCTGAATCCCTATGAAACTGGAAGAGCTGTGATATTACACACACACACACACACACACGAGTGGGGGGCGGGGGAGGAACCAAAAATAATTTCAGTAAAGTCCAATTCTACCCATGCTTTTTGGGAAGGAAAACCTACTGATTTTAATGGGACCCACTTCCAAATAAAGGCACACAAGATTGTTGCTGTACTGTAGTAATTCAAATTCTAGCTAAGCTAGTTGGAAAAATATGAGAGGTTTAAGTCCTTGAGAACCGAAGCAAACTGCTAGTAGAAAATTTGTATATTACTTGCATAAACTGATACTCATTTTTTCTATTTTATAAAAAGAACTTTGCACGAGTGAAAATGCAAGTGACAATGTCACTAGCTTCTCTGGTTGGTAAAGCATCAGATTTTAATGAGGAATATCTCAGAAAGTCTTTACGTAGCATTTTGGCATATGCAGAGGGAGACGTAGACATGCATGCAACTCCATTCCCAGCACAGGTAAGGCGTTTTTCTATCCCTAATATTTTTTTATTCATTCACATATTGTATATGTGAAAGGGGCACTAAAAGCATCTGGCCTAAGTACCATCTCCCCAAAAGGTGTAAGCACAACAGAATACAAGTGTGTGGTATGGTTCACCTTTCCAGAATGTACTTTATTATATATGTTTTGCATTTATATTCCACTTTCCTTCCATCATGGAACTCAGGGTGGATACATGCAGTGCCCAGGCCCAGACCCAGACCTGCTTAGCATGAGCAAAGCGGTTGCCTCATTTGCCTATAGACCATTCTCCAAGTGTTAAAATCCAGCTTTGCTTCATTTGACATACTGACTCATCCAGCTCTAGAACCTTAAAGATCTTCCTGCAGTGTTTGTTTTCTTTTATTCATCAGTGCTTTGTTCATTGAAATGTGTGTGAGAACACCTATGCTAGATTATTTATCTTTTTGTTCAGGTAGAAGAGCTATCGCGCAATCTTAACAGCATTTTGTCAGACACAGTGAAAATGCGAGAATTCCAGGAAGACCCAGAGATGCTTATGGATCTTATGTACAGGTTGAAAACACCAGTATTTCTCTTGAACTATTTACAGTGAATTGACCCTTAAAGTTTAAATTTTTTGTACAAAAATTGTTTTCTGTCTGATTAACATCCAGTTAAATGAACCAGTTTCTATCAATTCTGTGCTAGTTTTTTGCACCATGGCATAGCTTCCCACAAAAATCCATTGGTTTTTAATCTGAGGGTGCCAAACATTCTCTGTTAGAGACCTTTAGTCCCATTTACAGCATTATGTTTTTCAGGATGCCCTGGAGGAAACTGCAGGAATTCTGGGATTAATGTTTTAAAAACCAGTGTATGTCAATGGTATAGCTATACTTTTTTACAGTAATAGGCATTATTTTACTAGGGAGGAAGTCAGCATCGCAACCCATGCATGCCTCCTTCTGAACCCTTCATTATGAATACTACATAATACTTGGAATACCTTTAAATATTATTCTAGCCATGTGGTGAGCAGTTCTCATGCAGCTGGATCTCAATATATTTTGTCATGGCCAGTCCTCCTGATCAGGCAAAGGAGTTAGCTGTTTCATGTGGCAGATGCTGGGAAGTGGGGTGGAAAACAAGCCTGTAAATAGCCTGTCTTGAGCGCTTTTATAGCAGGGATAGAAACCGCTTCCATCTCGTTACCAAGTTCAGTTTTGAAGAAGCTTTTGGTGCCACATTCTGCTAGTGGGTAGGACTAGGAAATAACAAAAATACCAACACATTTTACCTTAAAGCCCTTCCCTTTAAAAAGTAAACCTTTGGAGGGGCATTTCAACCTTTTAGGATGGGAGAAAAATACTGTGCAACGGTTTGGAAGCCACCAAATAATAACTGTTTTAGGGGGAAAGGAGTTTGGGCTAGGGGAAGGAGGCTTGGCTGTCTGGGAAATCCTAAAGGGGCAGATTTGGATCCTCACCCCTGTAGGGCTGGATTGGGACCTGGCCCTGAGGTTCCCCACCCCTGCCCCAAGGTAGCCTGCTGTCCTCAGGTGTTTTGGAGGATATTACTCTCTTGCCTTGTGTTAAAGTAAGAGTCATCTACCAATCCAGCTAAATTCTGCAAGTAGAATGAAAAGATGTGGGAAGCCACCACCTTGTTCCCCACTTTGGGTGGGAGGACTGTACTATGTATGCCTACAGGTGGAACTCATTGATAGTGATTTTTCTTCTGCCTCCCTGAATATGGGGTCATAGGTTGAAAGGCTCCTGTGAACAGGAAACACAATGCACTTTAGATCTAGCAGCGTGCTCCATCCTCTGTAAACGAACATGGGACGTGAATGCTTGCAGACTTGAGATTCACTCCCTTGGTTAATATTTTGATTTTCTCATTGACAGATGAAAGACTAAGGAGGCCCACAGTTTCCAAACAGTCATTTTCACACACTAATGGTTCATTAGTGGTGATGCACTGTCACACTACTCACTGAATTTGACGGTTTATTTAATAGAAGAGCAAATAATGACACTAATTAGGATCTGTTGACTGGAATTAATTATTGTCCCTAAGCAGTTTCTACAGGTTCTCCAGCTGCATTGTTATCTCTCAGGGATCCCTGGGAATTAACATGATCAATGTTTTAAGTGCCCTGAGAAAGGTTTTAGATTTTTTTTTAATCTCCACAGTGAGAACAAGGGTGGATTCTTGTGTTAGGGAGGGAAAGGAGTCTCTCAATATGGGAAAAAATATTTGTAGATAAAAGGAGAGAAGGGATTGATGAAACAGTGAAAAAGCTATAGAACAGCTTTGCTCCGCCTGGCACTCTGTCAGATGCATTGGAGTACAATCCCCATCATCACCAGCCATGCAGTAGTACTGGGAGCTGTAGACCAGACGGAAGAAAGATGCTATAGAAAATATTTTTTGTTAGACTTCTGCCACATTCAGATGCAATTGTATAATAATTCAACCCTTGCAGATTGATGTGATGTCTGTTGAAGACAAGGAACAGTTTTTTATTTAACTGCATAGCTAATTAAATAAATAGACATTTTGATACATTTTCTCATTAGAATTGCCAAAGGATATCAGACATCTCCAGACTTAAGGCTTACATGGCTCCAGAATATGGCGGAAAAGCATGCCAAGAAAAAATGCTACACAGAAGCTGCCATGTGTCTTGTTCATGCTGCTGCTCTGGTTGCAGAATACCTGAGCATGCTAGAAGATCACAGTTACCTACCAGTTGGCAGTGTCAGCTTTCAGGTAAGCAGCTTGCAATTTTCCATGTGGGTCCCTTAGCTATAACTGTGGAGAAATGTCTTGCTTAAGCTACCTGGGCCCCTGTGTTCTGACTGAGCATGCTCACTGAAGTTTGACTTGACCAGTGGGCTGAGAGCAGGAGCAAAGTGGGTGAGAAAGCAGGGGGGAAGCAGCCTGTCAGGACAGTGCAAGACGACATCAGCTGAGTTCCCACTGAACGGATTCTGCTTTGGCTGGGCTGTACCACCTCGGACCATGGGTAACAAGTCGCATGACTGGATGTTCTTCCACATACATGACAATTGCTTCCCATGGAAAAACAGACATCAAGAGCAATGGTGTGGGAATTAGTTCAAAAAAGCAGGAGCTCTTCACAACACCCCATGGTCGTGTTCCCGCTATGATGACACATCAGGGTGCTGTACATTTTTCAGCCCAAGGACTAAATTCCATTAAGGAGAAGCTTTGAGGGCCACTCTCCTCAGGTGGATGGGACCAGAGGGAAAAGGGGCAGGGTCCGGCCCCCGAGATGCCAACTTATTTTTGCTTAAAGCTGTTTCTGCTGGTAACAGTGCATGTGTAAATACATATCAGCCTTTTGGAATGACAGAGAAAAAGTGCACAAAAGCCAGGAAAAAGCTCAATATTCATCGGTGAAGGAAAAGATGGTTGTCTTGGGGTGGGAATAGGGGCTTCCGGAGAATTATGAAGGGCTGGCTGAGACTCCAGGTCTGAGTTTGTTCTCCACTGCAAGAAAGGATTGTTCTGTCCTTCTGACTTGGAGTTTAAGGCAGTTAATATATGCTTGCGATTTCTCACCCATGGTTTGTAGGTGTTTTACAAAATATTCTCACCTTCCAAGGCCTTTCCTGTGTTTTCCAAGCATTTCCCTGGGTTATTTTTAAAATCAAGGAAAGTATGCTATTATCTGGAAAGTGGACTAGGAGAAACTGGTACATTTCTGTATCTCTTCTATACCACAGTGCCACCTTGTGGTTGTGTAATGGAACATGCAGAAAGCCAAAGAAATAAAAATCCCAGTGGGGAAAAATCCACATGTAAAGGATCCAATCATAGTCCATCAAAGGATCCAGAAATGGAAATGGCAGTAAACTGGCAGGTTTGAAACCTTATGTAGAGAATCCCAGAATGAAAGGGAAAAAACACAAGCTATTAAACTGACTGAGATATAGCAGAAACATGGAGAGATGGCGCTTCATATCTGTTCTGGAGCAGATTTTATCTTGTTTATCATCAGAATAGCTTTGTTATTCCTTATTCTATTTTGCAGAAGGAGATTTAGGGCTGAGAAATAGCCCGTTCTTTATACCTGTGAGGTTTAAATGCAGACACTTAAGTTTACACACATCCAGAGGCCCTAATACAGCATTGCTGTGTGGACTGGTTGCTTCCTGCCATGGTTTCTTATGCAATCTTCCCTCAAGCAATGAGAAGATCCCTGTGTTTCATACAAATATGTATAAAACCAGCTGTTCTGGAATATTTTGGTATTTGCATAAGCTTGTCTCATCAACAAGGTTGCCTGTGCATGTTTTCAAATCTTGCTTCAGAACAGATGAGTAAGAAACACAGCTTCACATCTCTGTCCCCGAAGAAAAATGAAATCAGTATTGCTTATTAAACCATTTATTTTAGGCAGAAATGAGCCCTTGGGAATAATTATGATAATGGTTCCCCATCTGAGGACATCAACATTATTTACAAACATTCTCCTGAATGTTTATGTGCTGTGTGCCAGAAATCGGTACAGGATAGTTTGTTGCCTTAAGTTTTTTCCTGAATACTTTTAAAAACAAGTACAGGCAAATCAGGGCAGAAGAGTGATTTATTTGGGAAATAAGGGTGTGTGAGACACAGTGCAACCCTATATATTTGGCTAAAAACTGAACAGTAAGGTAAACATGGTGTTCCCTGATTTGTTCATAAAGAGAAAATGTACCATGAGTGTGTAATCACTGCTTGTATTATTTGGGATGGAAGTGGAGGAGGGAAGTTTTTCTGTAGATTTTTTTGCTTTGCATTTGGGCAAAACTGAGGAATACCTCTAAATCCCACTGTAATTCTACCAATTTAAGGTTGAAAAATACTTCAATACATCTATGTCTTCTTAGAGGAGGTTAAGGGAGCACCATTTATTGAATAAAATGTTTGTATGTATAATGGTTTTATGTAGCCTCTGAGCAAAAGAAAAAATGGCAATGCTATATTATGGGTCTATAAATATCATCTCAGGATTTCCCCCCACAGTTATTAGAGCTAGACAGTAACTTTAAAGCAAAGGTTGTTCAGGATATTGTAAGACCGGTACCTGAAGTTGAATTCCATTTGTTTAAGACATCCTTACTCTTTCTCATTCAACAGTTGTACAAAGATCACTTAACTCCCTGATCACTGTGACTACTGATGAAAAAATTGATTTGGTGAGGATGAAAAAGTAAAAAAATCTGGGTGAATTACTATTGGCAATATTATTAGTAGTATGACAAGTAGTCATATTAATTAATATTGTCCTCATTGTCATTATTATTTTAATCAGTACGCACTGAAAAAGCAATAGATTATTACCTCTTTTAAGTAACAGCTTGGAATACAGTAATGGAGTACATGGTATGCCCTGAGCCAGGAATTAGAGAAATGGGGCCAAAAGATCTTTCCAGTATACCAATGGAAAGAACAAACATTTGTTACAATTGATACATCTAGAAGTTATCTAAACCATGCCATTGTCTTCCCTTTTAGAATATTTCCCCAAATGTGCTAGAGGAGTCAGCCATTTCAGATGATGTTTTATCTCCAGACGAAGATGGAGTATGCTCTGGGCGATATTTCTCAGAGAATGGACTGGTTGGACTGCTGGAACAGGCGGCAGAGCTTTTTACTACGGTGAGTAAAAGTATACTCCCAATCCATACTGGTGTTGCAGAATAATTCTATTTATCCATTTAGAACACTTTATCCTACCTACTGTTTGAGCTACCTACTACCTACGTGTTTGAGCTAGCTTTCAAGAGTGTAACTGGAGGGTGGTTGGTGGCCATGTGTCCTACTTTACAGAGGACAGTCATTTATTTCAAGGTGTCTTTTATTTGAAGGACTGCCTGATCCAAGTCCAGTATAAAGATAAAGAAGCAAGGAAAACAATGGCCTTGAGGTTGGCTATAAACTCTTACCACCTAAACAGTAGTCACAAGGAACTCCTGGTCACAGACAATTCTGTTACATTGCAACAGACTTTAAGTGTATCAATGCCTATAAGTCGTCATATGCCAGTGTGGTGTAGTGATTAAGAGCATGGGACTGGGACTCAGGCGATCTGGGTTCTAGTCCCCGCTCAGCCATGGAGCCAGCTGGGTGACTTTGGGTCAATCACAGACTCTCAGCCCAACCTACCTCACAGGGTTGTTGTTGTGGGGATAAGATGGAGGAGGAGATGTAAGCTGCCTTGAGCCCTTTGTAGGAAAAAGGCAGGATATAAATCGAAAATAAAAAAATATGCAATTTTCTTTTGCAAGTTGATGTCCTCTTTATGCCCTTTTTCGGTGATGCATGTCCAAGCTACCCATTACAAGGAAAAGTGGAAGAAAAGGGGAAAGGAAAGCATTAAGCATGCCTTCTTCTCTACCCTTTCCCTTCAGTCAAAATCTCCTCCCCTTGCTGCTGATATTAAGGAAAGCATAATCAGGATTTTCTGACACACAATGGCAATCTTTGCTACACAAGATGTTTATTATGCAATTATCATTTGTGATTCACATTTCTTTATGGATTCTTTATACAACATTGTAAGTCCCCAGTTTTGCTTCTGTTTGCAAGTAGCACTTATGGGGGGGTGGATGTCATATTATTGGGGGGCAGGGAAGATGTCATATTATTTTTAATGATGATAGAAAATGCTGTTTTTGCTTCTGCATTTGCTTTATTCCACTTTGCCATAGTGTTACCTAGAGGTTATATAGTGCAAAAGCAGGAAAGAAAACACTCCTTGCTAACATCTAATTTCTTCAATGAAACTGATGGTAGATGTACTGGAAAAACTTCAAGCTGAGCAGGGAATTCAGAACTAAATCATAATCCAGAGCAGAAGAGGCAATTTTTTGTGCAGTTTGGTCTAACCTCCTTAAAGTTTGCCATAGTAGTTCTACCATCCGATAAGGCAATTAAGCAGTGTTTGAAAGGTACACTGTTCTTAAAACTGCTAGGCTCAGACATGTCTTCATAACCATGATGCTGGAACAATTAAAACACTTTTGTCTTGGCTTTATGCCAGCAGTTGATTGGTCAGAGAACCTACACCAAATTTGTTTTTGTCTTTTCCTAATACAAGGGAGGACTGTGTGAAACGGTAAATGAGGTCTACAAGATTGTCATCCCTATCTTCGAAGCACACCGAGATTTCAGAAAGCTTTCTTCCACACACAGTAAACTACAGAAGGCCTTTGAGAGCATAATAAATAAGGTACCTTTCAGTTGCTTCTGTTGCTGGGCTGCAGTGTTTGTTTATGGATTGTAATGATAAGGCCACCTGCAGAACGTAATTGCCCCATTTCTGTTCACTGTTCTAAATTTCTGTTTGGACTATGTAGGGTAATTTATATATTTAACAACAAAAATCATTTACATTAGACACATTTTCTTTAATCATAGTAAGTGGTAGGCCTACGTTCATAATTAAATGCTGTATATTATTACTGCATACTGGTGACAATATTAACTTCCTGGGAAGCCTTATCAGTAAAAGAATGTTTTCACTAGGTGCCAGAAACTGAGGGATGCCGCCTATCTAATTTGCAGTGGTAGGGGATTTCTGGGTGCTACAGTGCTGAAGTCCCTATTCTAAGCTGTTCTGCAGCAAAGCTCTCAAATCTTGGGCACCACCAAGAGAGTATCTCCTGATAGGTACAGCAGCTGAACAGGCAGCTAGAGGACCAGATGATCTTGTCCTGGTGCTGAATAACAACTTGCATACTGGCTGCAGTGTGTGCTGGCTGCATGCCCCTGCATGCAGTTTACGTGACCAGCTCTCCCACATGGAGCTTCACTAGCACATTCCCCCTTGCTGGCCATGAAAGAGAGATATTTATAGTCAGGAGGCAGGATAGTAGCCATCTGCAGCGCTGGAACCATGTGTGTGTTGCAACTTCCCCATTCTCTTCCACAAGTCGGAAAATACTTTGCAGGTTCAGCAGGGACTCCTGAGCTGCTCCATGTGTAAATTATCACAGAAGTTAAACATATCCCTTCACAAAAAAAAGGGACTCTGTTAAAGGAACCAAAATTCCAGTGACTTCCTTTTTATCCACCAGGGTCAAAAGAGAATGTTTGGCACATACTTCCGTGTTGGCTTCTATGGGGCCATATTTGGTGATTTAGACGAACGGGAATTTGTTTATAAAGAGCCTGCCATTACCAAACTTCCTGAAATTTCTCATAGACTGGAGGTAAGTGATGATTATACTTCTACTGCAGACATTAAGAAATCATCGACATTATGATTCACTTCTCTAATGTACCTCCAGAGTTTGCCAATTTGCAGAAAATAACTTAGATCCCTCCAAGTGTGGGTTGCTTCCTCTGGTCACCTCCTATGGCAATATGACAATTATGGCACTAAATACTGTATCTCATCTATATGGCTGAGCAATATGAGGAAAGCTGAGGATGAGGAAGAAGGGTGTGCACATGGAGGGAAGGAAAAGAGAGAGGATGAAACAGGAAACTCTTGGTATGTAGACCACTCTGCTGCCATCAGTATTCCAGGTTTTCGAAGCCCCTTTATTATGACATCCACAATGGATCCCATCCCTCAGTGAGTCCAGCTTCTCCCCACCACTGCCAGCAGCTGCTGTTGATCATCATCCTGTTTCACATCATTTATTTATTTAGTTAGTTAGTAATCATTGCTACAGAGTGCCTTCTGTATAAGCAAATGCAAGTATATACGTGACAATTGCCCTTGTATGGGAAAATAGACAATACGTATGTGCAAAATATTGCAGTTTTTAAGGATGAAGCCCTGGAGGGGGCTTCTCCTCCCACATCCTCCAAGAAGGAAGACTGATGCAAATCAGCTTTGCAAATTTACATCCCTGCTGACTGAAGGGGAAGCTGCCCTCCCTTTTGCAGTTTCTGACCTGCCTGCTCTGCAGTGACAGGATGGCTGCTGAGTAGCTCTGGCTCCATTTTCGCTTTTCCTTGACTTTTTCTGAGCTGCTGTAACAGGAGAAGGGGGTGATACTGCAAGAGAGTGAGATGGCATATTTGGCTGAAGTCAGTCAAAATGGGAGGAAAAAATACAGGTGGCAAAAATAGCTGCTGAAAAGGGGAGCCAATTAAGTTGGGTCAACTTGTTCAATTGAATGATTATTTTCTCTTTTTGTGAACTGATTGCTTGCTATTTTCCATTAATAGATGTATTTACTAATCCAAATACTTGATTTCTTCTGGTCTAGGGCAGGTGTTCAGGGATTCTATCCTCTTTCCTTGATCTGCACAATCAAGTATTTTTAAGGAGCATCCCATTGTACTATAATTCAGTAATGGGGACAGAAAATTATTTTGGATATGATTATTTGGACTCTGAAAAAAGCAGTGGACAAGGGCTTGTGTGGGACCCCTGGCCCACTGCAGCAGACTGGGCTTTTCCTGAAATACAAGTTGCAATTAAATAGCCAGGGCAGGAAGCAGCCTGTCATTATGAACTCCTCCGGCCAAGGAGGAACATTCTACTGAAATGAATTCATCTTTTGCCGCAGGTTCTAAAGTTAGACAAATGGCGCACTGGGTGTGGTAACTCTGCAGCTGATGTCATCTGAGTAGCCTTATTAATTGTATAACCAGGGTGGTATCTCTGAGATTTGTTGTTTGGCTGATTATAACATTTTGCAGTCATGTAGCACTTTGTGAGCATTCACATATATTATCCCAGTCATTCTCACAGCAACCTTGCAAAGTAGGTAAGAGGAGTGTTGTCCATGGGGTCGCGATGGGTCGGACATGACTTCGCAACTAACAACAACAACATTTTATGGAAGCAGAGCTCAGGGTTAGAGATAACGGCTTGTTTGATGATGCCAACTGTAGCCAAGGCGAGAGTTCACCTTGATCTCCCAGTTCTAAACTGGTACAAAGCTTATGCAAATATAAAAAGTCCTTCAAATATAAACTGAATGGGTGGGGACAACCAGCAGCAATCAGGCCCCAGGCTGGCACTGCTTTTGGAAGGAGCAGCAAGTCACCTGCCATAATGTGAATCTTGAATGGTGAACTGATGTCACATTAATTTCCACTGCAATTTTCCAGAAACATAAAGTCTGAAATTGTTTGTGTGTCTGCATAGGGATTCATGCCTGTTAAACTTAGTGGCACTTACATATGAGTGAATCTGAAACAGAATTGGTTTGGGAAGCTGTAGCATTTTTATGTGATCTTTTATGTGATTGTGAAAAACTGGATTTTACTTATAAAGGCATCTTTATCTCATAATCTTATATTTATTATAGCTGCAGATTCACAATACATTAAAAAGGCTTATAAAGAGAAAATGCTCCTCAACATAATTTTTGTTTCCTTTTCAGGGATTTTATGGCCAGTGCTTTGGGGAGGATCGTGTGGTAGTGATTAAAGATTCTACTCCAGTGGACAAGAGTAAACTAGATCCCAGTAAGGTATGGCAGGCATTTATTCCCTGGAGTCCGGAATTCTGTACTGAGGAACCTTTGATTTTACTCATATAGAAAAGATCTCCTAGAATTAATTATGCACAGCTGGCAAAATCATGTGACTCTGTGTGGATTTAATTTAGTCTGTTTTAAACAGAAGAGTTGAATGGCTATCATTTCCTTCTTTCATGCTGTTTCACCTTGAATAAATTCATTAGGGAATTCTTCCCCACCTTTTCATTTCATTTCAATTTACATTTCTATCTTGCCCTATACCCCTTTTGGCTTTCTGGGCAGTATAAAAATTCAATTTCTAAATACATAATAAAACAGTATATTAAGGTACAGAATAAAATAATACATAATACAATGAATCAAAATGAAAAATACAACAATATCAAATATCAAACATCAATAATATCAAAATAAATAATGTAACAATATTAAGGACAATGAAATAACAATAATAAACCCACAATAACCCTAATAGAAAAACAAATCGCCAAAAGCAACACCAAACCAGGACACAATTGGCACTTCTGCTTTCTTGGTCTTCCCCAACCAGATGTCCTCCATATGTTGCTGGCCGTTGGCTGGTTGTGTCAGAATAAGTATTGTAGTCCAGCTCATATGCTGGGTTGGGGCAGGCTATGCTTACTGCATTTACGTCAAATTAAGTCAAGCCTTTCCCCACTGAGGGTGTAATAACATTGTCAAGACTGATCTTCATAACTTCAGCCTGAGTTAAGCAGTGGCTGGAGGCTGCTGACACACAATGAGTTGTCAGAAAAGACCCCAAGAGCCAGTGTGGTTTAGTGGTGAGGAGCACAGGATGGGACTCAGGCAATCTGGGTTCCAGTTCCCGTGGAGCCAACTGGGTGACTTCGGGCCAGTCACAGACTCAGCTCAACCTACCTCAGAGGGTTGTGGGGATAAGACAGAGCAGGAGGAAGAATATGATACAAGCTGCTTTGACTTCTTTTAAAGGAAAAAAGGCAGGATATAAAACTTGTAAACAAATTAATCAATAATAAAAGCCCTGTCCGGATCCTTCAGGATCCAAGCTAAATCTCTGTGCCTGCCTTTACTTAAGCAGTGTGAATAAGAAAATGGTACCTGGATAAATAATGCAGAGATGAAAAGTGTTTAGGAATCATAGTCTTGAAATGTATCACAAGAACTCTGATAGAACCTTGATGTATTACCCTGAACTAATAATGTAGTAATTTGAGTGATTTGGTTCTTTACAGCAGTGATGCTCAATGTGGGCTGTATAGACCCCAAGGAGGCTACAGAAAATGCTGTATTTCTAAGGGGAGAGGACACAGTGCAGTAAAGTACATTTTTCCAGCAAAGAGTGATTATAAGGAGGGTCACAGAGATAAATGAGGCTCGAAAGCAGGCATGAGCAAAGAATCCATGCTCTAGAGCACAGAAATTCCTTTTCAGAGAACCTTTTGGGGGCTGCATTCCAGTGCAAAGGAAGGCCAAAGGCAAAAGGCCCAGGACCAAAAGTACCAGGATATTTATTATTAAAACATTTACTGCCAATGTCCAAGGCTTAGGAGAAGCATTTCAGCCTTTGAGAATAGACTCAAAAACTGCACAAAAGCTGGGAACAAATGATTGGTCAGGAGAAAGGGGGTAAGGCATGGGGAAGGGGTGGCTGGGTTGCACCACTGGAATAGAAATTCTTCAGCCTGCTCTGGAGTTTATCTCAGAGATTTCATGGTACATAAGGCAAACAATGTTAGATTTGCTTGTATATAAAAAACCATCCTCCCTTTTGTAAACTGTCTCAGTAGACAGAGGCTATGGTTTAATTTGCAGCCTATGCTTTATTTTTCTTTGTCTTTTTTTCAAGCTGCTTATTTTTTCTACTTCTGTTAACACTAGAAAAGGACAGAACAGTGGAGGATGGCATCCTTGAAAGGTTTATTCTTCCTACTTGCTCCAGTAAGCAGGGTTTATACCAATGAGTGTTATAATCTTGGTCATAGCAGTTGGAGCAATAACTGTTCTCACCTGCTTTTGGCCTTGTTTAGGTTTTAGGAGAGCAACTTCCCTCTGGAGAAAAGCATAACTGTGGTGAATTTAACACGCTAGACAACTACCAGCATGCTAGAATAGCCTGGAAAGGCAGGGAACATGTCAGTACTTCTGTTTGTACGAGGGCACTTCCAGGCTTATCTACAAATAAGCTGCTTCCATTTTTCATATGAGTAGCATAACAGATCTCCCAGTTACAAGTTCACTTTCATGAGTAATATTTTTCATGGACCTCTAGTGTATTTAAGAGAGACTTTTCCACCTCCTCTTCTTCTCAGGCCTACATACAAATTACCTTTGTGGAACCCTTCTTTGATGACTATGAGATGAAAGACAGAGTGACCCACTTTGAGAAAAACTTCAACCTTCGACGATTTATGTACACCACCCCTTTCACTCTGGACGGACGCCCACGAGGAGAACTGAGTGAGCAGTATAAGCGGAAGACCATTTTGACTACAATGCATGCCTTTCCATACATCAAAACTAGAATCAATGTCATTCAAAAGGAGGAGGTAATGCATGCTCCAAAAACAGTAGAACAAAAACGTGTAACAGGCAATGCAAAGATCAGCAGGGTTGGAAGGGGCAAAACCAATATTAATATTTAAAACTGAGGAGGCGCAACATGGAGGGCTTGTCACAATGGACTTGAATGGTTCCTGGGTCTGACTCCCTTGGCATTCTGGGCTCCCTTGTTGCTCCTGATAGGCACATTTCTCCATTTCATCATCTCTCCATTTTCTTTTATGTGCATGAGGAATGGAAGACTGGATTGCTTCATTCCCGCTTGTTTGGTTCTTTTGCCAGTTCATGTGGAGGCCACATCACTCACTCTGGGTGCTAAGATCACATGAAAACAGCTTGTCTAGTCTGTGTCAATTGTTCTTTGCATTTTTGTTGTGAAGTGTTTATAACATTCCTTTTCCTCTGTGGTTTCAGTTTGTTTTGATGCCAATTGAAGTAGCTATTGAAGATATGCAAAAGAAAACCCTGGAACTGGCTGTTGCCACCAACCAGGTGCCACCAGATGCCAAAATGCTCCAGATGGTGCTTCAAGGCTCTGTGGGAGCCACAGTCAATCAGGTACCTGGGGATAAGAGAAAGGCTACTGTTTCTCCTTCAGGGCAATGTTCAGCCACATTAGCAACTCAGGCAAAGCATTACAATAAAATACATGGATCCACCTTACCCAGACAATAAAATCTGTTCAACAGCATCAGGCCCAGATCCAGGAAGGGGGCTATCTATCTATCATGTTCATTTATTTATTTATTTTACAGCTGCTTCATGTGTAAATTATTTGCTACAGGTGGAGGGGGGTGACTGTCCTCCCTTGCACACTTGCCCCAGTTGAGGCCTAAATAACACTTGTCCACTAGTCCAGTAACTTTTAAGGCCTGAACATAGTCCCTCCTTTGATATCCAACATTTCCTCTCATCTTTGTGATCTCTGACCCATTACATCTCAAAGATTCCTCCTCTTGGCTGATTCTTCACTAGTGGCCTTTTGAATTTTTCCCCTGGGGTTCCCTGCAGATGTGCCTTTTCCTGATGTTTGACTAGAATACTTCTGTGCCTTGTGTTTGGTTTACTTTATATGCTGTCCCTAAATGTTAAGGCATAGCATATTCCTGGCACATCTTCCTTTCCTCAAGAAATATGCCATGTCTAACACAGTGTAATGTTTTCCCATAAGGGGCCACTAGAGGTAGCCCAAGTGTTCCTGGCTGATATTCCAGAAGATCCAAAACTTTATCGACATCACAACAAGCTGAGATTATGTTTCAAAGAGTTCATAATGAGGTAAGTAAAGAGGAAACAGAATAGTTTAAAACAGCAATTACCTTCAGACTGTGTCTTCACTGGTAGTCTTGGGTATAGGCCAGCTTTCTGTCAGGCACACAAACTATAGGATTCCCCACTGCAGCATGGTGACCTGACCGGTGAAATTTCAATATTTTCAGAGCAATGGCAACACTAGAGAAGAACGTAGAAAGCTGCTTTATATTACATCAGCACATTGGTTCATCTAGGTCTGTATTATTGACACTGAATGGAAGCAGCTCTTTGAGATTTCAGGCAGGAACTTTTCCAGCATCCCTAGTTGCAAGATATATCCCTGGATATACCCCTAGCTGCAAGATAACAACTGCTTTCCGCTTCTGTCTTTTTCAGAAAGGTGCCATTAAGTACCAGCATAGCATTGAAGGTTATTGCAAGATACATAAGAACCAAGATTGTTTGGTGGAATTAATCAACATGTACATTTTTTTCCACAATTTTGGGAACAGGTGTGGTGAAGCAGTGGAGAAAAATAAGCGCTTGATTACTGCAGACCAACGAGAATATCAGCTGGAACTGAAAAAGAACTATAACAAGTTGAAAGAGAATCTCAGGCCAATGATTGAGAGAAAAATCCCACAACTATATAAACCCATTGTGAAAGTGGACAATATTTCAAGGTATAGTAATAGCCCTTCTATGTAACAGTCACAAAATCAGAAAGATGTTATAGAATATAGTTTCATCCAGCTTTCTGCAAGTTACTCAAAATTTCTGAAGAATGACTTATCCAGTGGGAACCACTAAGGATCAAATTGACATAATTAATACAACACCTGTTACACACACAATGCTGAAAATTTCTACCTGTAGCACCAAGCTATTTCTGATTCATGAGGTATAGGTGATTCCTTGTGCATTTCTCTTCCCTTCTTTGTCAAAACTTGGTTCAGCAGATATAGAAGGTTCATATTCAAAGTGTTGTACCTTGAAGAGGAGGAATGGTGTTTTTAAAAAATCAAGATAGATAAAATAATGCACATACCATTTTGAGCTTCAAGATCAGTGTTGAATTCGGGAGTTAAGGTTATGATCCCCAGTGCTATTGCACCTGTGTTGTCTTTTGATAATAAGAATTTGAACAAGACAACAAATTTAATGATTGCTTATGAACTTTCTTCCAAGTTCAGTCCTTTCCAGGATTGAATTTGATGTGTGTCAGGAAGCATTTATATATAGTGCAGCACTCATATTGTTATCATAATTCAATTCTAAATGTTGAACATTCTCAGGTATCCCAATTTAAGCACTACCTTGCATTAAAAAAAAAAAAACATTTGGGGCCAGTGCTCTGAATGTGCCCTTCAGACTGATCATATAAAAGATGGACTGTATAAATATATGCTCATGCTACAGTAGTTATGTAGTCATATGTGTGCAGCAAGTAATACCTGTAGTAATAGGTAGTTAGCCGAACAGAGAATGAACTGATCAAGGCAGAACATGTTTTCCCTCAATCTACCACCTATGTTCTTTCAAGGAAGAAAAGCTAGTTATGTGGTTTTGTTTAATTATAGTGACTCAAAGAAGGAACATTATATTCTAAGTAGAGAAATACAATAATTTCATTTTCTTTTATTTTTTACTTGAATTTGCCATGTTTGCACATGAATACATTTTTTTCAGGAAAATCTCTCTTGTTCATAAACTTTTGTTCACATTGAAAAGAAATGCCACTGTTTAAGAAAAGCCACCTAGGGATGCTGCTGGTGGAATAGGTGGCATATAAATATTTTAAATTTTAAAAATGCACAGTTTGTGGGGGGGAAATACACAAGTTCCTATTTTAGTTTAGGGGGAAGAAATGCACATTTAAATGCACACTTACAAAATATGCCCATTTCTCGTTGAAATGAAAAGAAAAGCAGATTCCCGTTTAACACAGGAGGAAGTCAATCCAAGCCTGAATGTGGCAGGTTGGAGAATCACTGTGACCACTGATTTTGGCATTCCTTCATTCTAGATCCTTTTGTAAAACATATGCAATTTTATGCATACTTATATATTTTTATTGTTTCATTTCAGGGACTCTTTCCGTAGCTCTAGTTTTAGGAAGTATGAAAATATGCCTTCACAGAACACATAAGAAGAACCACCTCATGAGAATCGGTTTGTGCAAGGTACGGAATGCAAGAAAATATTCAAATGCTGCACCAGGTAGAAAACTTCCCATGAATGCTGATGACCATATTTTGGAAGATAGCTACACGTACGAGACTCAAGATGGAAATAGGAGTTATAACCCATGCACCTGCTTCTGGGAATGGATGTTACTTGTTAGAAAATAGATCTTTGAAAAATTGACTTGAATATTTGCACTCACACAGGAAAAATATTTTTTCCAAAATGCTCAAAGCCACTTAATGATACTGCATTACCCACAAAATATCTCCAGTACATTATGGATTCATGTTTAAATATCCACTTCTTGCGTGGACTTCAAATCACGGAAATTTTATGGAAAGTTTTCAAATTAATCTAAACACCATTCTGCAGAATTATGGATTTGCATCAGTGGTATGGAAGCATATTTTTCAAGTAACAGATATGAACAGTTATGAGACTTAAGAACAGAACAATATTCAGCCAAAGTTAAGCACATTTAAATCTCACTGATTTCAGTAGGAGAGTTCTGATATGTATATTTCCAGCCTGTTTGAAGAGAAAAATCCTGTAACTTGATGTGATACATTGCAATAGATCAAGTAAGAACTTCTCACATCAGACATGTTGAAATCATGCTTAAACAAGTAGGATCAACTTACATCAAGATTAAAAAGCAACATTTAATATTGAAATCTGCTTGGCTAGACAGGGATCTGAACAAAATGGAGACTACACAGGTGAGACCAAGATTAAAATTTAAGCTAAACCTTTTCCACTCAGGTATATTTACAAACCACAGAGATTCATTCTAGTTGGAATGTTTTGTTACAATTATTGTTGTTATTTTAAGAGTAGCACTGTATTTCTTTAATTTTTTTGAAATATAGGCATACTCCCTGACATGTCTGTTACTTTTGTTACTAGTTTCTGAAACTTGATTTATTCAGCCTAGTCTTTGTGATAGGCAATGGTAAGGATAATAACTTTGAATATTTGTACATATTTTTGCATATGTTATTCTGAGACGTCAGAATTTTGACAGGTGGACAAGCCAGTGGAGATTTTAACACTTAACAGGTTTTTTTATTTTTTAAGTCCTAAAAGGAGACCATGATTTTTTAAAAAAATATATAAATAAAATATGATACCAATATAAATATTTGGTTTTGTTTCCAGTTAAAATAGCACTATATCTTTCTGTTTTGTCTTATAAACTCCTTGCTTGAAAAAGCAGGAAATAAAAATGAAAATTAAGTGATACAATTACTCTAAGTATACTTATATGTTTTGGGAAGCTGTAAGTACAGGCTTCTCTTCATCTATAATTGTTTGTTTAGTGTTGTCATTTTGACCTATCATGTATACATACACAATACTACTGCCATATTTCAGTATCCTCCTATAACAGATGTTTTGTCATGAAATTGGTTACACCTCAGCACCAGATGAGGGATATCTGAGGGAGGGCAGAACTTAATTTTTACAGCAAAAAAGAGATTGGTTGGGAAGATTCTTTTAAAGAATTGTTTAACAATAATTCTTTTAATAGTTACATTTTAATTCTTTTGTGTTTTCCCAAATCAAACCAGAAATTGCATTTCATGTTTTGAGTAGAGATGCTGAACACATAGTTTTCCATACGATATTCCTACATACTCACTTTCTGCTGATACACTGCAAAGACATCATTAACTTGTCCAGATTTGTATATCTATCACAGTGTTCACTAGGAGATAAATATTTGGGATGAATTGTGGTTCGGCCATCAATGTATACTTTGGAAAGATCTACCAGTCCAAAGTAAGGGGAAGGTCAAGGAAAGTTCATGGTGCTGTTTTCAGATCAGTAGCAGGACTCTATGAAACACCCGAATGATCTAACACCTCAGAACAAAGCTCAAAACAATGGTCAAATTAATGATTATACCAATCTGCTCTCTGTATTCTGTGGCATTATTTAGCTCAGATTATATGTAGTCAATATTCATCTTTGTCTATGTGGTGTGGAGATATACTTGAGACAGTTGGCTAGGCATCAGAGTTCACACAACTCATTGACTGTGTTTACACAACATAAGTCATAATGGGTCCCACCAGGTAGCTTATTTGTGGACAATAAGCTATCCTGACAACCCATGAATTGTTATGGGGGCTGTTGTACCCACAATTATTGTCATGTTATGCAAACCTGGGCAACAAACCCAATCGTAGGTTCCAGGAATTGGCTAAAAATGACTTGGAAAGAGCAGCACCCAACTGCACTGCTCTCACCAAGCTTGCCTGGGCTCCCATAAGTGCCAGCCACTGCACAACTGCCCAAGTGGCATTTGAGGAGGCAACACTGGCTTGTTACCCTTATGGCCACTATTGTGAGATGTTTGGGCTTGCTTTTCCCCATATACAGCCAAATACAGGTTGTTGTATTGCATGAACCCAGTCATTTTAAGTTCCTAACAAACCAAACAGTAAGAATTTTCTACAGCTTAGGGCTTCTTTTGATGAGACATTTGTTGTGCTCTTGAGATCCCTTATTTGTGCAACCCTTTCATGACTTTATCATCCTCCAGGACTTCTCCCCTGTTTTCCACTCTTTAGTGTTTTGTCTGTGTTTGAACAAGGAAAATCTTGTATTAAATTTTAAATCATGACCAAATGGAACAAAAGCCTTTTGAGAAGCTGCAAATCCATTGCAGTGAATCTACTATCTTGTGCTTAGTAGATGGAAAGTATAGAAAGGCAGTGAAATGCAATCTCCTGGGAGAGAGAGAGAAAAAAAAACCTCATGTAAAGGATGCAGTTTTCTTTCCACAGTGAAACATAGCAAGAAGCCTCAGTAAAGCAGCAGATTAAACTCCTCAGGAAGAGATGCCCTTAGTGATATAATGGTCTTGGTTAGACTGGGACTTGGGAGATATGATTTCTAGTCCCCACACAGCCATAAAGCTCACTGGGTGGCTTAGGGCCAGTCACATACTCTCAGCCTAGCCAACCTCACAGGATTGCTGTTTTTAGGATAAAATGGGAAATAGGAGAACTTTGAAAGCCACCTTGTGTTCCTTGCAAGAGGAGGGTATAAATGTGATGTTATGCAATTGACTGGCATATCTTCAAGAATATATAAAACAAAGTTGAATATTGGAAGGCAGCACAACGCATTCCATCTTTTCCTCTCTTCTGCTGTTTGTACAATGTTTGTTTGTTACAGCTAGCTGTGGGAAAGCTCAGGTCAGTGAGAAAAGAAAGCCAACTGCATACCTAATCAGACAGACAGCGCTGTGTCCAAATATACATACTTGTGAAAGAAATGCTGCATGTAATCTCTGATAACTCGTGATAACAAGCAAACCTTGTAATGGTGACATTTCTACAAAAACAAAGTAAAAATTGGACTACCTAAAGCTTCCAGGAAAGTTGCTTCTGGGGAAACGCTGCAGAGAATTAGAAGGAGAGGGGGAAGGATTTGAATTGTAAATGGAGTAGATGGGAAACATGAGAAGTTTTGGTAGCACTCAGTTGTGAGATGAAGGGTCAAGAGTGCTTAAAATGCAGATTGGGAAACAATGCAAGTTCTGAGTAACAAACAGGAAGCATAATGCTACTGTGTATCCAGAAGAAATGTTATAAATGATCCACATTTTCCACGAGAACTCAAGAGCAGAGAAGATTGATAAGTGACATATTTAAAGCTATTAACATAAACTCATGAATTTGAGGACTGCATGGCATCATGATTTAGATTCTCATAATCTGTGGCACAATCTCATAAACTCCCCAGAATTTCAGGGGAGATTAACCCTGGGACATGTGGTGGGCAGAGAAAGTGACTGCAGAGCACTTAAGGACACTGGGGGAGCAGGGAGCTAAAATGGATTGTTTATATTCCATGCAGAAATAGCTTTACACCATCTGAAATCAAACCCCCAAAGACCTAGTTATGATCTGCCAAATGAAGTGAGGAAACCTGCAACGATGACAGAACAGCCTATTAACTACAAAATCATATTTGGTTTAGAATGATGATGCAGTTGCCTATAGGAGGAACAAAAGAGCTGTGCAGAGACCTAAATGCCTTGAGCCAATGATGGGTGAAATAATGAAGAGTATAGTTGTTGGTATATCAGGAAAGCCTGGCTCAAGGCAATGAAACCATGAAATTGTTGCAAAATGACCGTGAAACCAGAGTTTTGGACAATGAGATGATGTGACTACATCAAGGGGAAGAAACTGCTGTTAACACCATTAATACTTCCTAGAAAAGTATTCTATTTGAGCTGTGATAGCAGTAGGGAGTGAAGTATTTTATTAGAAGGTGCACGAAGAGAAGCAGAGTTGGGAAAAACAAGTAAAGAATTGGGACTAAGGGCTTCTGTGAATCAGACTTTTAACCTGGCATTTTCCCTGAAGTATCTGCTTTGGGGTTCTTTGCAGGATTAAATGATCTCCTTTACACATTTCTCCAAGTTTTATTTTCTCTGACTTTCTAGACATTCCATTATACAAGCACTAGGTGGCACTATAAGAACAGAAATGTACAAGGGTTTCATGGCACCATTCTGGGTTATACCAGACATTCCTTCTAACGGGGGGGGGGGGGGAACCCACTAAAATGATTGCAAAGCTCAGGAGGAAGATGTCAGTGTGCAAAAGACCTGCAAACAGCTGAGTGAGGAATCATGAGCACACAATAAATGTCTCATGTAGAAAGGCTCTAGCACTGTAATTTTCAGATTATTTGTAGTGGGATGGATGCAAAGTTTTTCATGCTTCAGATGCCTCTGGCATTATTGTATAGTTTGTAGCAGTACATGCAAGTAGGCTGGAACTTGCTATACACTATCCCTCTGAATTTGCATGGATGAAATTTGTGGGGAAGGCTCACAATGGGAAATACTGTTAAAAGGGAACATACTATTTAAGAATCTCTTCTAGAAAAAGAACATCCTGAAGAACAATATTAGTTCTTTCATATCCTTAATATCCACTGAAAGTACAGCCAAATTGTTGAGAGCATTCCCTCCACTTCTTTTTCAATTTCAGATATTAATAACTTTCAAGTAAAGGTAAATCATAACCTACAAGGGACCCTGCACCGAAACCACCCAGACAACTTCAAAGTGCTTCTGGTTTTGATTATGGGAATAAAAATAAAAAGCTGTTTATTTTAGATTCCTCACCATTTATTTTGGCATGCATGGAGGTTCTTAAATGCAAAAGAACAAAAATGTTTGAGAAAGGGAACACACCTTCACTCTCAAAGACCTCTTTAGGACAATTTTGCCCCAGAGCACTGAACAGCTTCCTGAACTCCTCACTGGCACTGTCACGTACCTTTGAGATTATAAGAAGATTGATCACTAGAAACAAGGTACTTTTTCTGTCCAAATCAAATATGCAAACTGCATGGCCTGAACCAGTCCAACATTTTTTTTTCTATTTAAGGCAGGGGTGCACAACCTCAGGCCTGTTGCCAAATGTAGCCAGCCTGGGGTCCCAGTCTGCACTTCAGGGTTCTTTTTATGCCACCACTGGCATCAGAAGCAGTATGTCTGTGAACACTTAGTGGCTGGGGAACTTGGCAGCAGGCTGCTGGTACTCTGTGGGATCCTGTGGGCAGTTGGTTACCCACAGCATGAGCAGAATGCTGGAAGAGCAGGGCAGGGCTCTCCTTATGTTCTTATGGACCTGCCCCCCCCCTACCTTTGACCCCATCATCCTTCCCTCAATTGCCAATCATTTCATGTTCTTCTGGGTTTTGTCCCATCTCTTTCCCATTCTGAAAATGATTAAACACCTCTTCTGAGGCTTAGTTAGCAGCAAGAAGAGCATAAGGTAAAATAGGCTGGCATTTGGAGTGTTTCAGCCACATCCTTTTTGCCTTAGTCCATTTTACTTCAGCCCCGGCCACCACTAGAATGTGGCTCTCAGCTAAAACAGGTGCTTTTGTCACCTTAAAGGGCTTTCCTACACAAGGTATTTATTGTGCACCTACTCATATTTATTTAGATGATGTCATAACCCTTTGGTTTCTCTTATGCCTAACCCACACTTTTGACAAGTTTTTTAGAGGAGGGGAAAAGTGACTTGGAATTGTAAAAGTGAAAGAAAACAGTACTGTCTCTTGTGTATGTGCACTATTGTACTATGCCATAGTGCCACCT